TCCCGGGGGAAATCAGAGAATGCAGAAGACCTGGCGGGGGGAGCTGGGTGGTGGTCCCAGGAGCGGAGGTGTTTCTCTGTCCAGGCCCAAACCTCAGGCTGGGCTTCAGAGCCCCTAGAAACCAGGTCCATCACAACAGACGCCCCCCAGCGACCTGCTCTCTCCTCCGAGCTCCAGTTCCCTCCAAGTCCCAAAGCCTGTTTTGCCCTCACATTTACTCCTGTTTGTCCACGTCACTGGGTCATGCAGACTAGCTTCTGTGTCCTGACGAGGGCAGAGATCACGTTGGATGTTTCTTTTGAGTGACCTGCAACTTCTCCCCCTCCGTTCTCATTGATTGAAATTAATGAGCTGTGTTGTGTGTTCCAGCGACAGACAGAGAACACTGCCTGGTGTTTACATAACAAGTGGACTCCCCCTAAGGGAGGGGTATTTAAAAAAAGAAAGGAAGAAAACAGCGGTCCCAGGAAGCACAGAAGAGACCCACCTGACTAGGACAGATGGGAAGGCGTCCTGAGAGGAGCAGGGAGATGGGTCCGATAACCTCTGGAGGGCCAGCCAGCCAGGCAGAGCAGCCTGGGGGTGTCTTCCTCCCTCCCCAGGGGCAGGGAGGGGCAGGTATTAGGTGTTTGCCCCCTTCCCTTGGGACGTGGTGTGTAGACAGTGATAACAGGTGCCCAGGTTTTAGAAAAGAAAGATACATGTACACACACACACACACCCCACCCCCAATTCTTGTCCTCCAGTCTCCCCATGAACCCTGGGCCACCATCTCAACTGGGTCACCTTTCCTGTCTTGCAGCCAGGCCTGTCTACACACGTACACACGTACACACACACACACACACACACACACACACACACACACACCACACACACCACACATACAGCCAACTCCACAACTCCACAGGCCCCTTTGTTCCTCAGGCCTAAGGCCAGGAGCCTGGTGTGTGTGTGTGTGTGTGTGTGTGTGTGTGTGTGTGAGAGAGAGAGAGAGAGAGAGAGAGAGAGAGAGAGAGAGAGGGAGTTTGCCTGCATTCCAGTGCTCAACAGGAATTATTTCTGGAATTACCTGCTCTTTGTTTGGGGTGATCTTATTTCTGCAGGTCTAGATCTAGAGCTGACCAAGTGGGTCAGGGTCTCCAGTGCTTGGCACGTCTTAAGAGTTCAATACATGAATTCATTTCAAGAGCTGAATAAATGAGTTACATTTAATTAATAAAGATCTAAGTCTAGCCAGAGTCAGCGGAAGGGGAGAGCAGCCTGGGCCGGGAAAGCGGCACTGACTGAGCACCGAGGAGAGCCAGGCACGTGCCAGCAGCTTGGCTTATTATTCCCATTGTGGAGATGAGGAAACTGAGGCTCAGCAGCCAGTCCGTGCCCGAGGGGCAGAATAAGAGGCTGGCTTCAGAGGTCTGCTCCTTCCCCTCCCACCATGAAGCGTCACGTAGGCCGTTGCACGCAGCAGGCTCTTCCTTCTGTCTGAGGCAGGGCCTGTGCTGGCTGGGCACCGGGGCCTCGGTGGGGGACCACGACACAGAAGAGAGATACAGTCCCATTCGCTGAGGTCCTGGCGGGGAGACACATGCCACCTACACACTTTCCTGGTCATAAGGCAGAGAGGGAGGGGGAGGGTGGAGTGGGCAAAGCCATCTATGTCTAAGCCTGGGGCCCTTATTGTCATAATTCTAGGTTGGCTTTGGAGAGAAAGCTGGCGTGGCCAACATGAGGGCCAGTGGAGGAGGGGAGTGGACATGAGGGCCAGTGGACAGGAGGCCGCCAGCCTCTGAAAGCAAGGGAAGGGCTCATCGGACCCCCACCCTGGAACTGGGGTCCTCTGCTTCCTGGACACTCTGGTGGTCGGTCCCCAGTGTGGATGGACATGCCCCATGCCATATGCAGGCACACACACGCCCGTGTGTACACCGGTGTCAGAGGCTTAAGTGCACTCACACGTGTTCTGCCCTCCAGGGCCCAGGGCCTCAGTTGCCTCTCTCTCCTTGGAGATCCATCTGGGGCCTCAGCAGGACACCTGGGGGTGGACGTAAGGAGCATGAACACCCCCAGGGAGCTGATTGGTCTTTGTTGGGCCAGTGAAATGGGTCCAGCAGGGGCCACGGTCCTCCCTACCCCACCCCTTTGTCGACCCTTTCCCACCCAGCAGCTGGCCCCCTCCTCACACAGACTCACAGTTTCTGCCCTTTGTTTTCCTCCCTGGCCAAATCCCCCAGGCTTCTTCCAGTCATTAACCTTCTGCTTTAATGAGAGTTAGAGGGGAGGAAAGTGGAAGCAGGGCCAATTCCATGGTGGGTGTCTGGGGGGCAATCTCATTTGGGGGGGACAGAACGCTCAGACCAGCTGGTGACAAAGACAACATCTGGCACACAGTAAGTCCCGCGCAACTGCTTGCTTTCCTATGAACGTGAACATCGGTCACCTGGTCCGCACAGTAGGAACTTCCACCCAACGGAAGCCCCGGTCTCCAGAGCCACAGCTCCCTTCATCCGGGCTCTTGGGGCAGAGAGGGGAGGGGACCAGAGTAGAGAGCAGACAACTTCCACGGGGCCTTATCTCTGCATTTCTTCCTCTCCCACTCTTTTGAAAAAATAAATTTTATTGATTTTTTTTATAGAGAGGAAGGGAGAGGGATAGAGAGTTAGAAACATGGGTCAGCTGCCTCCTGCACACTCCCCACTGGGGATGTGCCTGCAACCAAGGTACATGCTCCTGACCGGAATCGAACCTGGGACCCTTGAGTCCACAGACAAAGCTCTATCCACTGAGCCAAACCGGTTAGGGCCCCCCACTACTCTTGCGTGGAGACAGTGGCACCCGACTCCACAATAAGGTTCGTTGTTAATCTCATGATAAGTCCCTGATCCAGGGGGCTCCCCTCCCCAACTCCAGGGTTTTCCAGGGGTTCCTCAGTCACGGCTCCTCTGCCTGAATCTTCTGCTTAGCAAAGGAGCAAGAGCCCCTTCCTCCCCCTGCACAGTGTCAATCCCTAACCGCTCAGACTCCCCACCCTCCATGGGTGTGCGCTGTAGGGAACGGGGTTTGGCTCAGCCCTCCCTCACGGCCTCACAGTGCCAGGTCTGTGAAGCGATCTCATCTCTCCTCCAGCAGGGCTGGACCTCACAAACTAGTTCAGACTTTTGGTTTCCAAGGTGCTCCAGAATAGGACACCTACTGTTGTAGCTCACCCACCCATTCTTACACAACTACTTTGGGAAGTTCTACTTAAGGTCTGGCCTCACGCCCTCGTGCTGCAGTGCCATCCACTCTCCTCTCTAGAAAGACCAGGCAGAAGAGTGCAAAAAGGAATGCTGAGGACGGAGGGCCAGGGGAGAATAAAAGAGTGCATTCTCCTTCAACTTCCCCGGACACTCTCTAAAAGTACCCAGGTGCCCCCAATTCCTGCCTTAAAAACCTATTTCCACTTGCACCAAATGTCCAGCGTCACAGGAACTACATTAATGAGTTTTCAGTGCGGAAGAGGTAGGTGGGATGATGGTGGAGGGTCACCAACCGATCGCCTCCCAGCTGCACGCATGGCCCGGGCCTGAAGGAAGCCTGGGTCCCAGTCAATCGCCTCCCTCCCTCCTTCTGTGGCACCCAGAGCTCAAGACTCTCATCTGAACACTGCCCAGCCACATCATGCCTTTAAGACGGACTCTGCCTCCCCTTTCCACCCCCATCTCTCCTCCCCCTCCACCCCTCATCCTCCTCACCTCCTCACCCCAAAGCCCTCCAGGCTCCCCTCCCATGATCAGAAGGCCAAGCACTAACTCACCTCCCAGCCGGTGCCTCTCAGATCTCCGAGACTGGGGGCTTGGCGGTTGGGGAGGAGGGGGGGTGATGGCTTGCCGCTTGGGGACGAGGGGACCCCGCCTTTGGCCTGGAGGTTCCCCACTCCAGCCCGGCGCCCCATCCTGGCCCCCACGGCGCGCGGGGCCGGGTGCTCCCCGCATCGCAGCGGCGGGCTTTGTCTGCTCTGCGGAGGGAGAGCCTCTCCCGCGGCCCCGAGCCGGATCCGCTCCGCCCGGGCGGGAGGGGGCGGGGAGGGAGCCGCAGGGAGGAGGAGGGGAGCGGGGAGAGGGGAGAGGGGAGCCGCAGTGACCCAGCCGGGACCGCTCCCCGCCCTCCTGTCCCCCCCCCCCTCATTTCCATGAGAAAGAGGGACCTGAGACCTGCCGGGACCGCGTGGGAGCCAGCCTGGGGGGTGGGGGGGCGCTCCATGAGCCTTTTTTCCAACCCTTCCGCTTCTGTACCCCGACTCCTCTCCCCTTTGCCCGCGAAAAAATTAGGGACCTCGACTCTTATCCCACCCCCAGCTCGGGCCCCGAGCCGCGCGGGTAAGGACCTGAGGGCACAGCCCGAACCTCCCCGGGTCCAGGAATGCGCCCCCGCGCCCGCGCGCCCCCGCGGCCGGGGAACTACAACTCCCGGCATGCCCCCCGCGCCCCCGGCGCGCCCCCCGCCCGTCAGTTCCATGCTGCTCCATCCAGTTCATTTAAAACAAAAGAGTTTGAGCGCTGGATGGGGCTGGTCTCTATTGGGGGCCCCTGAGTGCGACTCCCAGGCCGGGGCTGGGTGCGGGAGCCTGAGGGGGGCGTCCGGACGGCGGGGTCCGGAGGCTCCGGGCCCGAGGAGGGAGGGAGGGAGGGGAGGGGAGGGGGCAGAGATCCCGCAGCCCCCGGTCCCCCGTCACCCCCGGAGAGGAGAGGAGAGATCTGCTTTCTGGTTTTGTTTCTCTTTCCCCCCACCCCCACCCCGGGGGCTGGGGCGAGGGGAGTCGGGTTACAGGGTGTTTGGGGAGGGGGGCTTAGGGGGAGGGTCTATCTCTCTATCTCGCCGTCTCTCCCCCTCCCCAGTTCTTTGTTCCCCCCTCCCCGCGCACCCCCTCCTCCCCTCTCCCCTCCCCTCCGCTCTCCTCTTCTCCCTTCCACCACCTCTCTCTCCCTCTCTCTCTCTCTCTCTCCCCCAGCTTTTGTTTCGCCATGCCTAGTCTAGTGGTATCTGGAATAATGGAAAGAAATGGGGGCTTTGGGGAACTGGGATGTTTCGGGGGAAGCGCCAAGGACCGAGGGCTGCTGGAAGACGAGCGCGCCCTTCAGCTGGCTCTCGACCAACTCTGCCTCCTGGGTTTGGGGGAGCCCCCCGCCCCCACGGCGGGCGAGGACGGGGGAGGTGGGGGGGGCGGCGCCCCTGCCCCGCCGGCCGCTCCCCCGCAGCCGGCCCCGCCGCCGCCGCCCGCGGCGCCCCCGGCCGCCCCGACGGCGGCCCCCGCGGCGCAGACGCCCCAGCCCCCCGCCGCCCCCAAAGGGGCCGGCGACGCCAAGCTCTGCGCCCTCTACAAAGAGGCCGAGCTGCGCCTCAAGGGCAGCAGCAACACCACCGAGTGCGTCCCCGTGCCCACCTCCGAGCACGTGGCCGAGATCGTGGGCAGGCAAGGTAAGAGGGCGCCCGGACCGCGGAGCTGGGTGGCGGGGGTGGGGGCGCCCCATCCCTGGCGCGGAAAGTTCATTTCCTCTCCCGTCCACCCACCCATGGCTCGGTCCCTTCTCCACAAAGGGGGGCCCCCTCCTCACACCCCGATTTCCCGGCGCCACAAAGTTCCCTGGTACCCCCAGCCGGACCGTTCTCCAGACCCGTCCTCCCCCAGGGCCCGGCCCTCAGACAAAGAAATATCCTCTCTCTTAAGAGAGAGGGAAAAGGGAGGGGACGGGCTTCCCCATCTGGAGAGAGCCTGTCTGTCCGGAGGGGGTGCCCCCTCCGAGCCAGGAAAACTGGCCGAACGTGCAGAGTTCCTCAGGAGCCCCTGCCCTGGCATCTGCTAGCGAATTGGGGAGGGGGCACCCCTGAGACTGCCCCCAGCTGCCTGGAGTTGCACACTTTGGGGGAAACCTGGCCTGGGGAGCCAGTCTGAGGATCTGTCTCTTTGTTGGGCTAAGTGTAGGAATGGAAGGGGGTGTGGCTCCTGGGAGGGTCCCAGCCCGGGGGGAGCGGTGGGAAGGGGGGCTCCTGGGAGGAGGGAGGCCTGTGGTCACCCACACACCAAAGTTGAGCAGTCTGTGGGGTTCTGGAAGGGGCGCCCCCAAGGAAGTGCCACATCCTGGTGTGGCCCTCGCCTCCTCCCTCTCAGGCTTTTGTTCTGGGCCAGCCTAGGCCGGGGGCCCGAGGCCTGCAGGGGGGTCTCCGCTGTGCGGGAGCAGGACAGGGGGGTGGGGGCCTCAGTTGGGGGGAGGAGTGCGGACGCTTCACCTGGAGACGGGGTGCAGGGCGTGTGTCTGGGCGCGTTGGGGGAGGGATGTAGAATTCATACGGTGCAGGCAGTCTGATACCACACCCTCCTCCACTCCAGCATCCCTGCGCGGGTGGGGGTCGCAGTGTTGATGACTGTCCAGATTGAGCAGAGGAGAGGGATCTCGGGGACCCTTCCCTCTCTTAGTTCCCCAAAGGGGAGTTGTAGGGGGCAAGGGGGGGGGGGATTTGGAAATGGCAAGGCCGGGCTGGGGAGGTGGGGGTGGGGAAGGAGCAGGGGAGGAGCTGTCCCACAGTAGGGAACAATAGAGCTGCATTCCGGCTGGGGAGGGAGGGAGGGAGGGAGGAGGCCGGCTGCTGGCAGGGGAAGAGGGGAGGCGAAGCCAGGGGGCCCCGCTCCTCGGCCCACCTCATCCCCCTGGAGTGCCGGGGATTGGTGGGATTTTTGCTGGGAGATCCGGAATGGAGGAGGGGACGGTGCCACTGGCCTGCACAGCCCTCGCTCCCACCCGCCCCTCTCCATCTCCCGAGGTTTCTGGTTTGAAAAGTTGGATTTCCTCTCTATCAGAAACTAGGGATCCACGGCCCTGGAATCGGGTGGGGAACCCTAATATCTTTCTTGTTGGGAGGGTGGTCTTGGGAGGCCCCAGAATTTCATGGAGTCATTTTTTTTTCTTTCCTCTTCGGCCTCCGCATCAGATGGAGCTGTCTCTCACAAAAGTAGGGAGGGGGTTTCTCTCTTCCCCCTCATCCCTTAAGTAGAGGGAAGTCCTCCCTCTTGTCTAACCTCCCTTCTCCCGCTGCAGTGTGGGTGCCCCTGTGTTTAACCTCCGGGAAGGTGAAGCTGGGGGGGGGGGTGTCTTCCCTCCAAAGAGGGGCTTCTTTAGGCCTGCAAAGCCTGGGGTCCGTTCCCCCACCAGCTCTGCACCTCCGGCCGGCCCGCTAGCTTTTGTACTGAGAGTTCTCTGCCCTGGCCTGCCCTCCTCACCCCATCCCAAGCCCCAAAGGCATTTAGCTCGCTTACATTTATGGACCTAAAAGTTAGAGCCAAAACCCAGGTGCCTAGCAGACACCACGCGGGTAGACACTGGGTGAGAGGGAACGCCACTCACACACGCGGGCCTTAAGAACAGCCCTCTGCCGGCATTAAAGCAGCGGGGATGTGAGCTTGACAACAGGTAGGACTTCTCCGTATCCAAGAAGTCCGAGGACAAAAGGCAGGGGCCACTTCTCCCGTCTAAGGTCTCTTGGCAGTAAGGAGGGCTGCTCCAATCCATTCTGCCCTCCCCTACTCCATATGGAGTGGAGGAAGGAGACTGATAACAACAACAAGAATAATAATAATAAGCTCTCCTCGGGCCTGTGGACGGAGAGTTGGGGCAGAGTCAGAACACTGGAGCTGCTAGTGGTTTGGGGGAGAGGTGGTGTGGTGGGGGGGGGGGGAAGGATGTGGGTCTGTAGGAAGTATACACCTGAGGGGGGTGGGAATGTATCTCTGTGTGAATGGGGTGGAAGCCGTGGGCGTGCATAGGAATGTGCTGTTTGTGAGCTGGGGTGATGCGGATGGCGGAGAGGCTGGGACAGGGAATCCCGGGGTGTGAGAGGTGTGTGTGAAAGTATTTGGAGGAAGGCACACAGTACCTCACGGCGCTCGGGCCCTGCGTGTGCAGCTCACACATGTGGCGTGTGTGCTTCAAGAACGGATGTGAGTCTCTGCGAAGCCGGGGGCAGAGAGAGGGAACTCGGGAGGGGAGAGCGGCTTGGCCTGGCAGCCTTTGGAGGTGGTGTTGCCGGCCCACTCACTCTCCTCTTTCTCCCTCTTTGTCTCTTTGTCTCCGATTTCTTCTTTCTTTTCCTGCCCTCTCCCCAGCCTCCCCGCTGTAACGCACTCCTGCTTCACAGTGGGAATAAGGGTCCAGAACACCTCTCCCTCATTCTAATCCAGCCCCCCAGCCGTCTCAGCTCTCCTGCTCCCCGGAGTCAGGGTGGCAGGAGTGACTGTGGGGGTCAGTCCTGTCCCTTTCACACCATCTTTACCTTCATATTCCTCTCCTGAAACAGATTCTCTGGTCCTTCCCAGTCTCCCACACTCCACCAGTTGCTGCAAATGTGCTGTGAATTGGAGATACTGAGAGACACTAATGGGTGGATGCGGGGTGGGGGGGTGGGGGGAATGGAGGGGGGAGAGGGGATCAGAGAACAGATGGGGGTCCGTGGTCCCTGAGTAGGTTGGAGGACACTTTTAAGGAATGGAGGCCTGCTGATGAGTAGATTGTGGGGTTCCCGCGTGCATTTGGAGTTCCGTGGAAAGATCCGAGTCGGTGGCAGATTGGGGGGCGGTGGCGGGAGAAAGGCAGAGTGATAGATGGAGTGATTTGGATTGGGGAGCAGCCAGGAATCAGTAGAGAAGTTGGGAGAACAGCTTATGGTTGGGGGGGAATTAGTACTCAGATTTGAGGTGAGCAGCTTTCTGGGAGGGTTAGTTCAGGGTTTCCAGGAGGACATGAATTGGGATTCAAGGGAAAGTTGTTAACAGTTTGAAAAACGTGGTTGATAGAGATCTTTGGGTAAATCTGAAATGAGTGGATTATTCAAATCAAGGTGGTTTTGTGTGTGTGTGTGTGTGTGTGTGTGTGTGTGTGTGTGTGTGTGTGTGTTTGGGGGGGGGCGGTCCTAGGGGTAGATTGAGAGGTTCCTGGGGGCGGGTATCTGCCTAAGGATCAGGAGCTCATTGGCCCCGGCACAGACCTTGTCCAGTGAGTGTCTCTCTCTCCCCCCCTCCGCCTGCCCCCAGGCTGCAAGATCAAGGCCCTGAGGGCCAAGACCAACACCTACATCAAGACCCCCGTGCGGGGCGAGGAGCCGGTGTTCATGGTGACCGGGCGGCGGGAGGACGTGGCCACGGCGCGCCGGGAGATCATCTCGGCGGCGGAGCACTTCTCCATGATCCGGGCCTCGCGCAACAAGTCCGGGGCGGCCTTCGGCGTGGCGCCCGCGCTGCCGGGCCAGGTGACCATCCGCGTGCGCGTGCCCTACCGCGTGGTGGGGCTGGTGGTGGGGCCCAAGGGCGCCACCATCAAGCGCATCCAGCAGCAGACCAACACCTACATCATCACGCCGAGCCGCGACCGCGACCCCGTGTTCGAGATCACGGGCGCCCCGGGCAGCGTGGAGCGCGCGCGCGAGGAGATCGAGACGCACATCGCGGTGCGCACCGGCAAGATCCTCGAGTACAACAGCGACAGCGACTTCCTGGCGGCGGGCAGCCCGCCCGACCCCGCCGCCGCCGCCGCCGCCGCGCTGGACGGCCGCTACGCCGAGGCCTGGCGCGTGCCCCCGGCCGCCTGCAAGCCGCTCTCCGCCTTCCGCCAGAACAGCCTGGGCTGCATCGGCGACTGCGGCGCCGCCGTGGACTCGGGCTTCGAGGCCCCGCGCCTGGGCGAGCCGGGCGGCGGAGGGGACTTCGGCTACGGCGGCGGCGGCGGCGGGTACCTGTTCCCGGGCTACGGCGGCGGCAGCAAGCAGGACGTGTACTACGGGGTGGCGGCCGAGACCAGCCCCCCGCTGTGGGCAGGCCAGGAGAACGCCACGCCCGCCTCGGTGCTCTTCTCCTCGGCCTCCTCCTCCTCCTCCTCCTCTGCCAAGACGCGCGCCGCCGGGGCCGGTGCGGGTCCCCCCGGGGTGCACCGCTCCCCGGCCGCCTCCGCCTCGGAGCTGGCGGCGGGACTGCCCAGACGCCCGCCCGGGGAGCCGCTGCAGGGCTTCTCCAAACTGGGGGGCGCGGGCCTGCGCAGCCCCGGCGGCGGCGGCGGCGGCGGCGGGCGCGACTGCATGGTGTGCTTCGAGAGCGAGGTGACCGCCGCGCTCGTGCCCTGCGGACACAACCTGTTCTGCATGGAGTGCGCCGTGCGCATCTGCGAGAGGACGGACCCCGAGTGTCCCGTCTGCCACATCACAGCCACGCAAGCCATCCGGATCTTCTCCTAAGCTCCCCCCGGGCCTCTCCCCTGCCCCGGGGGCCGGTTTCCGCCAGAGCCTTTGGGAAACCGGCAGTGTGAGGGGGGTGAGGTGATGGGAGATGCTGGCTGGGGAGCTGGGGAGCTGGGGAGCGGGAGGGGAAGGTGGTGGCTGGAGGGTGGGCCACTCTGAGACCCTCTGGCCACCCGATCCTGGAAAGGCTGGGAGGGGGCCAGGTTGGAAGTTTTACTAGAGTTACAACTCTGATACCTCAACACACCCTTCAATCTGAAAGCAGCTAAGAGGAACTTTTGTTTTGTCCGCGGCGGCGGCAGCTAAGCCCCCTGACCCCCTTTGTCCGCCTCCCCGGAGTGTGTCATACTACCCCTTCCTCATGGAGGAGAGGGGGAGGCAGAGGGAGAACTACCATCTGTATGGAGGGGCTCTCTCCCATCCCCAGGTCCTCTGGTCCTGACCTCTGACCTCCTGGCTTGACTCTTTGGACCCTCCACTGCCATATCCTGTTTGGGAATCTGTGCCTGGGTTTCCAAGATGGGAGGGGGCTGGGGCCCTTTCAGAGCCTGCCCAGGCTGCAGGGGGTGGGGAAGATGCCAACTAGTGAGGGCTTGGCCCTGTCTGTCTCCACAAAGCTAGGCTAGAGGAATGTGGATGGGGCGCCTGCCGCCCCTTTTCCCTCCCCTCTCCTCCCGTTACTCCTCCCTCTGGTTTCCCCCTTCTCCCGTGCTCCCTCCCCGGCTCCTCTCTTTACTCCCACCCTGTCTTTCTGTTTCTCCCCTTCTCCCCCTTCCCTTCTGCCCCTTCTATCGCAGCTTTGGGGATACCATCCCCTGGGGAGAAGTTAGGGGGAAGGACATTGTGGTGGTTCCCCCTCATTTCTCTTTTGGCATCTGGAGGCCCTCTTTCCCCCACTCCTCCAAAGACGCGCCTCATGCGTGATGGAATGTATCCCCGTTCTCAGTGGAAATGTGAGGAGGGGACTAATCCTGGGGTACGCGAAGGGCCAGCCCTCCCCACCTTCACCCTCGTTGGGCATTACATGTAGGGGGGCAGTTCCCAGACCGGATTTCATGGCAGTGGTAGGAGGAGAGCCAGGGAGCGGGCTGTTTCAGGGAGCAGTACCCCACTCCCTGCGGGGGCCCCTTGACCTCCTACCAACCTTTGTGAGTGAGCAAATCCTGATGTGTGTGTCCCACCCGCCCTGGTTGAGAAGAGAGGGGTCCGCTCCAGGCTGAGCAGGATCGGGGTGCGGCTGTCCTGAATCATGTTACAGGCCTTACACCCCCTTCGCTGCTTCCCCGCTGCTCACTTGGGGCTGCCACCAGCCCCCCACCCTCCTAGTTCCGCTGGCGGGCCAGGAGACGGGGGACTGGAGCCCCTGGGGGTCCCGGGAAATTATTGTATATAGTGAGGTGGGACTATTGTAAGTGATCTCTGAGCACGTAAGCTCGGGAGTCCCATTCCTGGACAGAGAGAGGGTGCAGGAATGGGGGTACCGAGGGGATTTCCTTCCCTCCCGTTGTGAATTCACTCTCCTCAGCCTTCCCCTCCGCCACCAGCCAGGGAGGGCAGAGGAAGGAGGTCACAGCTGGGAACCCTGGCCCGTGACGGCTTCCCTCCTTCCCGCCAATGTGTGAGCCATCCTGAGACTAAAACCAAACCAAATGGGTTGCCCAAGGGAGGTGGGGGGTTGGGGCAGAGAAGGGGTGTCTGTCTGTGGATTCCCCTCCCCCTCGCCACTCCTTTACCCACAAAGGCAGAAGACTGTTACGTTGTTAGGGGGCTCGGAAAGTTCCATCCCACCCTTACTTCATTGAGCCAAACCTAGAAACAAGCGCAGAACACAACATAGTGAGAGACAAAATAGAAGTGAGAAAGCGAGCGTGAGAGGGAGCGCGATAGAGGCGACCAACAGAGAGAAAACGAAAAGAGCAAAAAACAAAAAAAGCAGTTCTTTATAATTTAATATTCTATTTTAATAAAGGCGTTTATTACCGTATAAATGTAGCAAAGAACCTGGGCTAATATGAAAAAAAAAAGACTTTTTATTAGGTAATTTATTATATGAAAAGGATATTTTATTTTATGATAAAGTGATCCTTAAAAAATAAAAAAAACTTTAGAAGGTTTAGAATATATGTAGGGAGAGAAGAAAAAAAAATACATTTGTATTCAGAGTTAAATCTTAAAAGAAAAAAAAAGTGTTTTTAATATATGTTCAGGTTTACGTTCCTTTTTCCCCCCGGCTTTTCTTTTGGGGAGGACTGTCACTTGCTTAGGGGAGGAGGAGCATCCTGGGACGGATGGTGGCTGAGGGAACCCGGTCCCTCCGGGCCCTGCAAAAGGATTGGGTTTCCTTCCCTGGGCTCCTTCTCCTCTCCCCTCCCCCTCCGGGGAGCTGGCAGAGCCAAACAAAGAAAGGAATTAACAAGAAAGGAGGAAGCTGGAGGATTGAGGATCCCGGGTGCTCCCCTGCCCCTGCCTCCGGGGCCAGCGAGGAGGGGGAAGTCCAGAACGGAGGCCTGGCAGGCCCACGGGACCCTCAGAGAGGTGTGAGATTTAAGAGACATAGTTTTTTGTTTTTAACCAAAAAAAAATGAGAGAGAAGAAACTGAGGGGTTTAAAAAAGAAAATACTACAAAATAATAATTATTAATAATAACTCAAATTTATTTCATATAATCCTAGAGAAAGAAAAAAAGAGAATTACTAGTTACTTAGTAGACTATTCAGATAGCTTAAAAGTTTAGTAGCGATGCGGGCCCCTGGGCCCAGTAGAATGTATAAAAGTCGTTAACAAGAGGAAAATAGAGGAGGGAAGCGGCTGAGTCCCCCCATCGTCAGTGATCAGGGTGGAAGCAAATTGCTAGTGAAGGCTGGGAGCATCTAGTCGGCTGGGGCTGATTCTGAGAATCCTTGGGCTTTTAACTTGGACAAACTGAGGAGGGGCTCCATTCCCAGGGTCTTTAAAAGGATGGATGTTGACCATTTCGGCCAGGTGGGGGCAGCAGAGGGGTGAGCCTGCACCCTTGTTCTGCATCCCAGGACCGGGAGGGCCTACCATCTGGGCCATTCCTCTGTCTCTTTGGGTAGCCCTTACTCCCAAGTGATGATGTCCATTCTCGGGGCGCTCCGTGAGGTCCCTAGGCCTTGAAGTGTAACCTCCAGGGCTAACAGATTGGTTCAAGAGCCTGGGAGGCCATTCCCCACACATGCACACTTCCCACCTCAGCTTTGGGAGATGGGGTCCCTGCTCCTGCCCCATCGTCCACGTGGCTTTCGGCAGCAGAGGAGTAGGTCTCACCCCTTCTCCTTTAAGCTTGCACCGTGCTTTATTAGCTCCTGGAAGTTCCATTCCAAGGACTTTTCCACCCACTGGGAAAAGGGGCTCCCAAGCGGACAGAGGCAGGGGATGGGGAGCAGAGACATTGGGTGACCCTGACCCTCTGCTCCATGCACTTCCATCTGTTGGAATTCAGGCAGGGATCATCCACTGTGAGGGCACATGGCCCTCCCCGTTAAAAATCGGGGGGCGTGACTGTTGCATATGAGGAATCGGTTTTTTAAGCACTTGCCTTTACCTAACCCTGCTTGCAGTCAGGCCAGGCCCCTTCCTCCAGGCCATCCAGGGGGTGTGGAGGTCCCTGGCTCTTGGCAGGAAGAGCCTGCTCCATCACACCAATGATTGTCATGCCCTAGACCCCAAACACATCTCCCTCTCCCCAGTTTATTCTTCGCGACCCCACCTAGGGACAGATCACCCCTGCTCTTTGTGTCCTAGGAACCCCATAGTTTGGGAAGGTAGTGTCTGGGGTGGGGAAGGCGGCCCCTTCTCCGCCCAAGGGTGCGGGTAGGGTCGGGTGGGTAGGTGGAGACAGCCCTGGGGCAGGGGGACGGTCTCTCCACTGTAGAAAGTAGAGTAGGATTGTGGTCAGACTTAATTTGAGGCATCTAGTGAGGACGCATACAAATCCACCGAGAAAAAAAACAAAACAATTCAAAAGCAAAATTAACAGGCGGGAAACAAAACGGACCCACGAATAATTGAGTCAAAGTCGATGTTGCACAAAATGCAGAGAAACCAAGAAGGGGGAGGGTTAATGTATTAAATGTGCTATTAAGAAGTTAATTTTATTAAAAGTATTATTACTTAAGGCTCTGGCTTCTTTCCCTGCGTGTGGATCTGAACCGTGGGGGGGGGGGGCGCGAGGGGCCACTGTGGAAATTGTAGCTGGGAGTTTTCTCTCTGGTGTAATTCTGGGCGTCCCTCCCTGCTCACCTCTGGGAGGTGGGTGGCTCCTGTCTGCTCTCCACAGCTCCCAACGCCAGTCTCCAAACGCTCAATCCCCTTTCCCACCCATTCTACCCCTTCTTTTCCTTAGGGATGCCATCAGACCTCCATCCACTCTGCCCTGCAGTACTCTAGTCTAGAAGCTAGAGACTGCCCTCCTGGGCTGAGGGAGAAAGGGCGGAGAGCTGAGACAGACCCTCCCCACCAGATGCAATCTGTCCCTACACCCCAACCCTTCTTTGGGGTGAGGTAGAAATCCGGATGGAGATGAACCTTCCACCTCCCCGTCTTAAAGCCCTTCCCCCGGCACACAGGAACAGGCTGGCCCCAGCTCCCCCTCCTCTCCCACATCTCCCCTGCCTCCGCCGCTCACCCCTGGCATTGGAGTGACCTCAGTTCTTGGCACCAGGGCCCTGGGCACCAGATGGCACCTGCCGATGGTCTCCTTTGTCTTGCTTTCCAGATACCCCCTCCCCACCAGGCTGTCCTCCCGCCCCTTCCTACTCTGGGGGTTGGCAGAGGCAAGGGTGGGCGTCTCACCCCCTTGGCACTGTCCCCAGACCACAGGACTTCAGGGGCAGCTGGCCCTGGGGGCAGCGGGGAGGATGGAGCCAGGGGAAGGGAAGGGGAACAGGGATTCGGAGGAGGAGGAGCGAGTTGCAGGGGAGCGCAGGCGGGAGGCAGCGGGAGGCTTTATTTGGGAGCTCTGGTCTGTGAGGTTAGCAGACAATACAGGGGTGGGGGGGCGTGAAGACTTTAGAGCTCGGCGGGGCTGTGCGCAGGGAACAGGCCGCTGACGTCTGAGCCGCAGGGCAGGGGAGAATCCTGGAGCGTGGGGTGGGGAGCATCCTCACCAGGACGCCAGTGAGGGCAGGGCTGGTGCTGGCCAAGGTCAGAGGCTGATGCAACAGGCCCTCTTCCCACCGGGGCCAGGCTCCTGCCCGGCCTGGGCACTGCCCAGGGTGATGGCATTGGTCCGGGTGCTGTTCTGCCTCTGCTTGGACACTTTTGCGAAAATCTCTGAGAGGGGAAAGGGGGGCGGTCAGTTCAGAAGCCCACACTCCCTGTGCTCGCACCACATGCCCCTGTCTGAGGGGTGGTCGCCCTTAAGGGAGGTTTTGCTGAAAGGAAGTGGAGTTCCTGTCCCTTCTACTTACCTGCACGGGGAAGAACCAGGATTCTGCTCCCTGAGAAGAGTGGCTTTTGGTTCCTTCCCTAACTCCAGGCTCACGGCGGGGAGGGGGGAAGGGGGGAGTGGGAGGCAGCACTAGGGAATGTCTGAGGGGTAGGGGGAGGCTCTGAGGAGGCTGGGGACCCACAGAGGTGCTGAGGAACCAGCTGGGGTGGAGAGGGCTGGGTGTCTGCGTTCCTACCACTGCCTGTGGAAGCCTCGGGATTGGAATGGGGTGCAAAATAGAGGCGGGGACTCTAACCTTTCAGGACAGTTTCAAAGGCCAGCTCCACGTTGGTGGAATCCAAGGCTGAGGTCTCCAGGAATAGCAGCCCATTGTTTTCTGACAGGAAAGGAAACATACCATTAATTGCGGGGTCAAAGGCAATAGGAACAATATTTATTGAATGCTTACTGTGTGCTAAACCCTTGGCATGGGTAGCTCATTTAATTCTTTTTTTTTTTTAATATGTTTTTATTGATTTCAGAGAGAGGAAGGGAGAGAGAGAATTGGGCAGAAACATCAATGATGAGAGAGAATCATTGATTGGCTACCTCCTGCATGCCCCCGACTGGGGATTGAGTCTGCAACCTGGGCATGTGCCTGACCTGGAATCTAACCATTACCTCCTGGTTTGGTTCAGTGATAGAGCACTGGCCTGTGAAATGAGGGGTCCCAGATTCAATTCTGGCCAAGACACATGACCAGGGTTGAGGGTTTGGTCCCGAGTGGGACATGTGTGGGAGGCAGCCAATCAATGGTTCTCTCTTATCATTGATGTCTCGATCTCTCCCTCTCCCTTCCTCTTTGAAATCAATAAAAATATAATACAAAAAAAATCAAAAGAAACATCAATGATGAGAGAGAATCACTGATCGGCTGCCTCCTGCATGCCCCCCTACTGGAGATTTCATCCATAGCCTGGGCATGTGCTCTTGACTGGAATCGAACCCAAGACCCTTCAGTCTGCAGGCCGCCACTCTATCCACTGAGCAAAACCAGCCAGGGCTGAGTGGTACAAATTAAAGTTGCATTAGACTGAGGAGTGAAAGCAGGAGGTTCAGACTTCTATTCCAAGATGACAGGAGAAAATATTACAAGAATACAGATTGCTCACATTTGTGGGTTAGGACACAGTCCTATCTGAGGGAGAATTTGAAGACTCACAGAGGAAGTAAGTGATGAAATAAGGTCCTGGAGCAAGAGGGGAACATGGGGAGATGAATAGAAACAAAAAAATGTGTTTCCTTTGCAGGTATTTTTTGTTTACCAACCTTAGTCATGTAATTTCTGTGTCTGTGCTTAGATCAGGCCTAATATCCTGGCTAACTTTAATAACCCCATCCTTAAAGAACATACAGTAGAACCTCGTTTCTCGGGCTTAATTCATTCTGGAAGAAGTCCGAATCATTCTTTCCCATTAGAAATAATGTAAATTGAATTAATCCGCTCCAGACTCCCAAATGATTCCCTGATTTAACCTTTTTTTTTTTTTTTAATGTACAGGACATGTCTATTGTCCTGTTTAACCTACAAACAAACACTTTAAGAACAAAAAGGACATGAAATGTAAATGAACATTAGCAAAAAGGAAAGGAAACGTACAGTACAAAATGAAAATTTAACAATAATTATAAGCAGCAAAAAAACCCACAAAAATATTCACGGCACAATAGCTTGAGATTTTAACAATAGTAAACGGACTCGTATGCATGCATTCTCTCTGTTTGTCACCTGAGAAATGTGTGACTGATCATACAGGTATCAGCATGAAAGGGCTGTCAGGTTGAGAAGCGAATTGTTCAAGATGGGAGACGGTCAAGAAACGAGGTTCCACTGTAATCGCAGTGTGATGTATTCCCGTTCCAGTAAAAGATTAACATGTCACCCATGAAGGACAGCTCAAAGACACATTTCAAGAAAAACCATCTCAGTATTCCAGGAGAAATCATAGATCCTAATGACCTCCTGAGAGGTCATCCAGTTCTATCCTTTGGATTATAAAAGAAACAACTAAAACCAGAAAGGTGATGTCCAAATTGACGTGGCTCTGTGGTGGCAGAGTCTCCATTCAATGACCATAATTTAGGTTTCATGATCTTGTGGGGATTCAGAACGAGTCACCCTAAGGCATGCCTTGTGGTATTTGAATTAGGGGTCTTGCCCATAATAAAAGATTATCAAAGATAACCTGTTGCCCTAACTGGGTTGAGTGGATAGAGTATCGGCCTGCAGTCTGAATACTCCTGGGTTTAATTCCAGTCAAGGGCATGTACCTTGGTTGAGGATACATCCCCAGTGGGGAGGGTGTGCAGGAAGCAGCTGATGGATATTTCTCTCTCACCATTGTTTCTCTCTATCCCTCTCCCTTCCTCTCTATAAAAAAAAAATCAATAAAATATATATTTTTAAAAATAAACATAAAAAAAGATAACGTCTTTGACCTAGCTCTAGGGCAGAACAAACTTCTATATACTAAGCATCTGCTCTTCTTATCCTGCAACGACCCTCTGAAGCCCTCAACGTGCATTATCTCACCCCTCGCTCAGAACGTCTTACATACCTCAGGCCCCTTTCTAGCTATGAACTGCCTGGGTCTCCGGCTGCCTCCCTATCGCTCAGCCACAATCCCTGCTGGTTTTTACAGCCCAACGTTGCGGGGACTTCTCTTCCCGACAATGGAATTCGGGGCTGTCGGACAAGCCCTTTTAGCACCTGCACCCCTCCTACAATCTCTGTGATTTCTTCTTTACTTCTCTAGTTATAGAGCTTCCATTCAGCCAGCTTTCAGGCAGTTCCGAATGATGGCTGTTCTGTATTTTAGTTAGTAGTTTTTTAAAATATATTCTACTGATTTTTTACAGAGAGGAAGGGAAAGGAATAGAGAGTCAAAAACATCGATGAGAAACATCCATCAGCCTCCTCTTGTACACCCCCTACTCAAGGACACATCTCAGGCCCCAGCAATCAAGGCACATGGCCCTGACTGGAATCAAACCTGGGACCCTTCAGCCCGTAGACCGACGCTCTATCTACTGAGCCAAACCGGCTTCGGCTTAGTTGTAATTCTGATGTGATTGTGGAAGGATGCAAGTACTGGTTTTACCTGCACAGCCATCTTGGTTCCTCTTTGAATCCCATCCCCTTTTACAGAAGAGGACGCTGGGCCCAGAAGCACAGAGGGAGTGTGAGAGAGCTTGCTCAGTGTCCCACGTGTAGTGACTGGCCCAGAGATGGCAGGCTGGGCTGTTGGGACTCCTGAGCCTACACACTGAACCATCGTGTCTTACTGCCTGGGAACCCCAGAGAACACCCGGGGAGAGTGTGGCTGGAGATAGTCCAGGGGAGGCCACCTGCCACACTTCGGTTCTCTGAGCATGGCAAGGTGGAGCGGTCTTAAAATCAACGATAGCCCGGCCAGTGGCTCAGTGGTTGAGCATCAACCTATGAACCAGGAGGTCACGGTTTCAGTACCGGTCAGGGCACATGTCCCGGTTGCAGGGGGTGTTTGTGCAGTGTGGGGCGTGCAGGAGGCAGCTGGTCAATGATTCTCTCTCCTCATGGATGTTTCTATCTTTCTCTTTCTCTCCTTTCCTCTCTGAAATCAATAAAAATATATTTAATAAATAAATAAATAATAAAACCAACTATAAATAACTACCCTTAAAAACAATCTCAAGGCAAGTGGTGGGACATCAAGGGTCACTGAGGGGAAGGGCTGATCCTGAACAAGAGGGGGTGAAGGGAGGAGGCCCTGGTGGGGGGACCAGTGTGGGCGGGTGGTGAGAGGTGAGCCCAGGTCTTGGCAGGCTCTTACCGGCGAACATGCGGGCCTCGTCACTTGGCACCTCGCGGGCCTGGGTGAGGTCACTCTTGTTGCCCACGAGCATGACGACGATGGTGGCCTCCGCGTGGTCGTAGAGCTCCTTCAGCCAGCGCTCCACCACAGCGTAGGTGTGGTGCTTGGTGAGGTCAAACACCAGCAGGGCCCCCACCGCACCACGGTAGTACCTGGGTGGGGCAGACGGGGTGGCGAGAGGCAAGGTCAAGGTGGTTAGGCCCAGCCTCAAGCCAAAAAGCTAGGGTTCGAGTCCCGGAGGCGGGGAAATATGAAAACTGGAGTCTAGGGACGCAAACCCAACAGGACAGCTCAGGGCCCTGCAGCCTGTCACTGAGAGCCTCAGGAATAACAGTTGCGGAGGCTCTGCAGACTCCCTCCCAGCTCTACAACCACCGGCTCCCTCCGTCCCTCCCAGCCCTTCTGCTTCCCCAGGTCCTTGGTTCTGGGGTTAGCCCCTGCTCTCCACCAGCGCATACCCAGGCCCCGCTCAAGTGTGTCTCCTGGATGCCCCACCTCCAAGGCCTCCCTCACGTGTCTCCTGGACCCTCAGCACCCTCTTCTCTCTCACGGCCATCTTTCCAGGACCAGCGAAATGCCCGCCCCATGCAGCAGTCCCTGAGTTGAGCATCGGATGCATCCTTTGCAAGCGCTAAGATTCCCTCCTGGAGCTTCTGCAGCCTGGTGGATATAACTGAGGCTTGCAAGAGGTCAGGTGACCAGCCCAAGAGTGATGTGTGTAATGGAAGCTCCTCCTGCCCCCGGCAGGTACTGCCCCACCACACCTCCAAAGACCCCCTTTCTCGTATGCGGCCGGCACTGACTGGGAACACTCTGTGCGTGGCACGCTGAGTCTGTAAATGCAGTGGAGGGGTCCAGCCCTTCCCCTCGGTGGTTGGGTGTTAAAGGCTGCCAAGTGCAGAGCCCCGAGCAGAAGTGAGGGAGCCCTCACCCCCTGGAGCCTGCCCCCACCTCAGCTCGGCCTTCCTTTCACTTCCTTGAGCCTCAAGCTGGTCTTTGAACAGGAGCTGAGGAGGGAACCTGACCCCCGATGTGCCTGGGGATTGGATACAACGCCCACGGGAAGTGCCTGTGCCTTCCTGGGCACACCGCAAAGGCTCACTTAGAAAGCGGGGCCAGGACTCCTGTGCTCAGTCCTAGTAGCCAGTCTCACCATCTCCCGTCCCCGACCGTGTACTGTTCAGAGCTTTTAGGTCTCCACGCGTCCTGGGATCCCCCCAGGAGGTACGCTGCTGAGTGTCCTTGCCTCCTCCCCACCCCTCTCTCCTCCGGAGGAGTCCCCTGGCTTCCCCGCACCCTCACCCCCGGCAGCCCCCAGCCCGGCTCACGCAGAGGTGATGGCTCTGTACCGCTCCAGGCCGGCCGTGTCCCAGATCTGAGCCTTGACAGCCGCGGTGCCCAGCATGACCGTGCGGGTGGAGAACTCCACCCCGATGGTGGTGCGGCTGTCGTGGCTGAACTCGTTGCGAGTGAAGCGGGACAGCAGGTTGGTCTTCCCCACGCCGGACTCGCCGATGAGCACCACTAGAGGAGGGAGAGCGAGGGGGTGAGCTGGGCAGAGCGCCCAGGCCTTCTGAGCCCGGAGGGTCTGCTCCTCAGAAAGCGAGGAGGGCACAGGGGCTCCTGGCAGAGACGGGGCCCTACAACTTCCCATGCTGGGGGTATCGGGGCAGAAGGGCCCCAAACCAGACTCGGGTAAGGGGCTCGAATGGTTCCGGGCCTAGTCTGATGAGACGAGCCTGCAGCCAGCCTGCGGTTCTGGTGACGGGTGACGTCTGCGGGTGAACTCAACCTCGGTGGTGGCGTGGCTGTGTGCGTGTGTTGGTGTTCAGGGCTGGGGGGAGGGGAGCAGGGGTGTGAATGTGCACAGGGATGGTGGCGGGTCTGGGGAGGGTGCACATCCCTGGGTAGGGAGTGTGAGCACTGAGTTGGAGGACAAGTGGGAGGGGTGTGTGTGTGTGGGGGTGTTTGTGCAGGAAGCATAGGTGGGACGAGAAGTGTGGGTGAGGAGAAAGCTCGGCAGACGGCACGTCTGGGCCAGGGGGGAGGTCTGGAGGGGTGTGTGTGTGTGTGTGTGTGTGCGTGCGTGTATGTGTGTGTGTATGTGTGTGTATGTATGTGTGTATGTGTGTGTGTGTGTGTGTGTGTGTGTATGTGTATGTGTGTGTGTGTAAAAAGTTAGGACCCAGTTTTCCCCACGGAGGGTCAGTCTTGCATGGGGCTAGGTGTTAGACCCTGTGTGTGTGTCCTTCAGCAAGTTATGATTTCTCTGACCTTCTTGTTCACACTAAAAATAGGAATAACAGCCCTAACTGGTTTGGCTCAGTGGAAGAAGCGTCGGCCTGCAGACTCAAGGGTCCCGGGTTCGATTTGGTCAAGGGCATGTACCTTGGTTGCGGGCACATCCCCAGTGGGGGGTGTGCAGGAGGCAGCTGATGGATGGTTCTCTCATCAATATTTCTAACTCTCTATCCCTCTCCCTTCCTCTCTGTAAAAAATCAATAAAATATTTTTTAAAAAATAGGAACAACAATAGTACATATCTTATGGGTTACTGTAAGAAATAAATGAGATGTTGCCCAAGATATAGTGCGTGTGCAAAACTATTACTTAATCTCATGACTGTTGGTGGGCCAGCCTTTTTACTTTTTTTTTTTTTAATATGTTTTTATTGATTTTGTACAGAGAGGAAGGGAGAGAGATAGAGAGCTAGAAACATTGATGAGAGAGAGTCATCGATCAGCTGCCTCTTGCACACCCCCCACCGGGGATATGCCCGCAACCAAGGTACATGCCCTTGACCGGAATCGAACCTGGGACCTCTCAGTCCCCAAGCCGATGCTCTATCCATTGAGCCAAACCAGTTTCGGCTACTTTTAGATTTTTAGGGACAAGGAGCCCCCAGAGGGTCCTGAGGAGACTTTGGGCCGGAGGGCAGGGGCCAGGCCCAGACTCACCCCGCGGGCTGATGGGAGTCAGTCAGGCTCACAAATCGCATAGGCACTGTGCTAAGCATGCAGGATTAGAGGAAGCCCCGGATGGTTCTAGAAAGGCATGGCAAGGGTGTGTGTGTGTATCCCCTATTGGGGACCCAGTCTACACTCATCCCTCCCAGTGAGAGGGTGCGAGCCCTATCCTTAGGCTCCAAAGGAGCTGAGGTCAAGGGCTTTGGAGTCAGACAGATTGGGGTTTGTGCTGACTTTGTGACCTTTTGTTTGTTTGTTAATCATCACCCAAGGATACTTTTCCCTCCATTCTTAGTGGAAGGAAGGGAGAGAAACATCAGGGTGAGAGAGACATATTAATTGGCTGCCTCCTGCACATACCCCGACCAGCGGATCGAGCTTGCAATCGAGGCACGTGCCCTTGACCGGAATGGAACCCAGGACCCTTCAGTCCACAGGCCGACACTCTATCCGCTGAGCCACACCAGCGAGGGCACCTGGTGACCTTTTGTAAGCTACTTTGGTTCTCATCCACCGAAGTGTATGGAGTGCCTACTAAGTGCCCGGCCCCGTCCCAGAGCGTTTACATCTATTAACTCATGTAACCCTCACCACGGTGCCGCGAAGCAAGTACCGTTATTGCGATTGTCACATTTTTACAGAGAAAGGAGGCACTTGGGGGGCTAAACCCCTTGAACAGGACAACACAGCTAGCGTGGCAAACACAGGTGTGCTGCCCAGATGTGCCTTCCAGGGAGGACTTACCCCAGTGCAGGGAGTGCCCTCAGCGGACAGCCCCCAGCTGTCTGCTCCTTCTCTGCCTCCGTGCAGAGGGCAGCCTCCCTGACCTGCCCCTCCCGGGCGGGCTGCACCCACTGCCCAACAAGGCAGGGTATCAGCGCCCCGCCTTAGGCCAGGGCTGTGACCCTGCCTTGCAGTTTAACTCTCTCTCTGCCCAATCCCCTCCCCCCTTCCTTCCTTTTAATATGTTTTTATTGATTTTGTACAGAGAGGAAGGGAGAGAGATAGAGAGCTAGAAACATTGATGAGAGAGAGTCATCGATCAGCTGCCTCTTGCACACCCCCCACCGGGGATATGCCCCAAACTCTTGCTAGCTCTGACCGGGTCTCCTCTTCCTGGGAAAGACGCTGAGAGAGCACCGGCTCCCCAGCTCCCGGGAAAAAGGCAGCTGGGAGAGACCCAGGAAGAGACCAACAGAGGCAGCCCTTCCTGTGTTTTTACATCTCCTACCAGGACCCCCTCGCTCTCACTCAGTCTCTCCTTCCTGGGAAACAAGTTGGGAGTACGGTTCGCCTGTGTCCCAAGTGAGGGTGGGGCTGCGGCTGGGAGAGGCAGTGGGCGGGGTGGCTGGACAGGGAATCAGAGCGCTCTGAAGGAGGGGTGGAGGTGAAGGGATGTGGGGCTGGGGGACCATACGGGGGCCAAACACAGGAGTTTAGAATAAAGAGCTCCTTTCCTGTACATCTCCCCAGAATGGTGACTTTTCCCTCTTCAGTCTGCCTGTTCCTCCAGGAGGAAAGTCCTCTCAGCAGTCTGACCTCCACCCCTCATGCTGCAGCCGATGACTATTCCTAGGGACTTGGCCTCCCATTAGGAAGGGGGCAGAAGAGCCTAACTAGGCCCTCTGAGAGAGAGAGCAACCCCATTCATTATTTATAGCCCAGAGCATTCTGGCAGCCCTCCGACTTCTGCCACAGGAACCAGACCCTCCCCCAGCCCTGCAGCTTTATTGCTCATCCAAAGGAACCATGAGCCCTAGGGGGTCCGGGTAAGAGATTAAAAAAAACAACAGCAACAAACCCACAGGAGGGACTGCCTCTGCTGGTCTCTTTCTGGGTCTCTCCTAGGCTCCCTCTTTCGTTATGAACCCCAACTTACCCTTAAAGACAAAGTTATAATCCTCCTCGGTTCCGTTCCCCATCTCGGCTCCGCATGGAGGGCGCAGGTGGCCTCAGGGGCAGAGGGGACAGGTCTGTGCGTTGCCTCGATGCCCTCAGCCCTCAGCCCTCAGCTCTGACGAGACCAGGATCTACCCCTTCTCTCATTGGAGGTGAAGACACTTCTGCAGCCAGAGGGATTGGGACTTACGCTGAGGCAAGGCCAGGCAGGCTCACCTCTGCAGGTGGAGGTGCCTGAGGAAGCTGAGCGGAACAGGAAGAACAGGCCGGCTGGGACCTGGGCCCTGGTGGGTGGAGACCGTGACGTCAGACAGGTTAGACAGGTTGGCTCTCTGCTCTCGCCGGCCCGGGTTCCTGCAATTAGGTGAACAGGCTCCGGAGGGTGACCATAGGGGAAGCTGGGACGGGGCCTTCGGAGAGCCAGCTGAGGACTGAGTGCGTGTTGTTCGGCTCCTGGGACCTGTGGCCAAGGTGGGTCCAGCTGCCAGTGAGAAGCAGTCCCTCAGGGAGCAGAAACCTACTTGGCCTCCTTCTCTTCCTTCAGAGCCTCCGGTGGGGGAGGCGGGGCAGCTGGGGGCACCGGAGGAACGGGTGACGGGATGGCAATGACCCTGCAGAGCCCTGGGAGCTGCCTCTTGGGTGCAGCACACTCTGCCCCTCCCTGAGAGCCTGGGAGCGGCAGCATTTCTCACTCTGGGTGGAGCTGGAACCTGCCGCCTACTTACTTTCTTAGGATGAGTGCCTTCCGAGGGCACTGGGAATGGGCTGGGGAGGGCACTGGGGAACGGGCTGGCCGCTCCCCGCCCAGACCGGCTCTAAGAGCGCTGGGTAGGGGGGGACCTGGGGCAGAAACAGCCAGGCAGGGTGAGGGGTCTGAGTACAGGGCCAGGATCTGGAGATGAGTTTCTTCAGATTACTGCCCAGGACCTTTGGCCTCAAAACAGAGCCACCCTGCCCGCAAAGGGCTTCGGGATCTGGAGGTCTGGGTAAGTGAATGTCTGAGAGAAGAAGAACCCAGGGTGGCCCCTCCCAGCCTAAGGGTCGGAAAGGCACCCTACCAACGTCGGGACTGAAGGACACTGAGCTCTCAGGCCCCATGTTATTTTTGTCCAACATGACCCCCACTGGCCCCTGCTCCTGGAGCTCCCTTCTAAGGTGCTGCCAATCAGGTGGGTAGAATGCTGCTCCGAGTGGTCAAGAGAGGTCCCTCCACCGGAGCCCAAGGGACCAGAGGCTCCGGTGCCCACATTGGCTGCTGGAGGCCCTGGTGGATGAGCAGGTGGGCGTCTGTTCTTACGGGCCACGGAGAATCCTGTAAGCCATCCCCGCTCCTTCCATCTCCCGGCTCCATCCAGCCCAGACCCACGCACCAGGAGTCCCTGGTTTGTTTCCTGGTCAAGGCACATGCCCAGGCCCGCCGAGGCTCAATCCCCAGCAGGGGGCGTGCAGGAGGCAACCGATCCATGTTTCTTTCTCATCTATGTTTCTATCGCTCTCTCCCACTCCCTTCCTCTCTAAAGTCAATAAAAACATTAAAAAAATATATACATGACAGGAGTGAAATTTATTCTTGGAAAAAACAAAGTCCCCTTCTTCTCCCCCACAGTCCAGGAAGGGGTTCCCCAGGGGCCTTGCCCCTCCAAATAGTCATCTGTCTCGTCTGGCTTCTATTTCCATCAGTGTCCTTACGATGCTGCTACTTGGGTGAGGGGCTCCTCCAGGTACTGCACCAAGGCCTGGGCCTGCGAGAGGGGGAGGAGAAATCAGTGCCACACAGGGCCTGCCAGGAGAGGGATCCCAAACCCAGGCAGACTCCTGATGCGGAGAACCCAGCCCCTAGCCCACCACAAGGACTGGGTGACGTGAGGAAGGTGGGGGGTGTGGGGGAACGGGCGTGGTGATGAAGAACAAAGGCTAGGCCTAGGGTGGCAGAGGGATGGGCACATACATACCTTCGCCTTGAGCATCCCGAAGCCAACAGTCTCCTTCGCGTACATGCACAGCAGAAGGTTGGCCACGCGGGTGATGGCGACGCGGCCCTCCTGGGGGTGACATCACAGGATGGGACATTCTGCTCGGCACCCCTCGCTCCCTCTTACCTCAAGGAGTCCTCTTGAGAGAGACTCTATCCTCCTTCCCTGCCCTGGGCACAGCCAGGAGCTATGGCCGCAGCCCTGGCCATGGGGTCCTACACTCAGATGCCAGCCTTAGCACAGCTACCTACAGACTGAGTTACTCTGGGAAACTAACCTCTCAGAAGCTCAGGTTCTCCTCCTGTAGCCAGCGGGTGAGGGTGCTAGACCACAGGAAGGAGTTTTGGATCTGCAGAGAGCTATCCCAATGGGGATGTCATTATTATGGGTTCACCCCCCGAGACACTGTAAAGGGCTTGAAAGCGGTAATCCAACGTATTTTTCCTCTTTCCCCATGGCGACGTTTTCCAGACTGTAGGTTTGACCCCAGAGTTAAGATCAATATTAAAAGATGAAGGAAGCCTGGCAGGCATGGTTCAGTGGTGGAAGGTTGACCTCTGAGCTAGGAGGTCAAGGTTCCATTCCTGGTCAGGGCCTATGCCTCCGTTCAGGCTCCACCCCCCCCAGTGGGGGGCATGCAGGAGGCATCCAGTCAATGATTTTTTTCTCATAATTGATATTTCTATCTCTCTCTCCCTCTTCCATCCTCTCTGAATTAAATAAAAATTTTAAAAAAAAGAAAGAAAAAGAAGAGAAATTAAGTGCATTGCATGTAGTAAGGGAAGTACTGTTTCAGGAGACTTTTGTTTTGGGGGGTATATGTGTGTACCGCGCTCTGACTTAAAATGTGTTTCCTATGGCTGGGATGTGGCCAAACATTTAAAAGTGATTGCCGCCCTGACTAATTTGGCTCAGTGCTGACTGAAGGGTCCCGGGTTCAATTCCGGTCAAGGGCATGTACCTTGGTTGCGGGTACATCCCCAGTAGGGGTTGTGCAGGAGGCAGCTGATCAATGTTTCTAACTCTCTATCCTTCTCCCTTCCTCTCTGTAAAAAATTAATGACATATGCTTAAAAATAAAAGCAACTGCCGTATAGCACCATCTCTAGGACAGGTACCCAGTAGGAGTCATTAGTTGAACTGAGCCTTTTCAGTCTGGCTCAGCTAACCCTCCCTCGGTAACCGCCGTGCTGGGAGTCGGGTGCTGCACCCCTGCTCCTCCGGCCTCACCTCCTAACAGCCTCTCCCAGTCTCAGGCCACCCCACCCACACGGGCCGTGTGATCCTCCACCTGGCCCCATTTTGCCTCACGGTTTTTGCACCTGCTGTTCTGTCAGAACTGTTTCCCCCCACACAGTCACATGGCTTGCCAACTGCCTTCAAATCTATGATAAAATGTCACTTTTTCAGGGAGACGGTCCCTGGCCCATGTCCCCCTCTATCTCACTTCCTTGCTTCATTTCTCCCCATAGCATTTTCAATAACTAATGCACCGCATACTTTTTAAACTTACACATTATACAAAACATATTGACAAACTTATTTTACGAAACATACACATTTTGCTTATTTTAAGACGTAAAACTGTAAACAGCTTTTGTCTGTCTGGTTGCTACTTTCCCCGCCCCCCGTCCTGAGAACACTGCAGGTATTTGTTGACTGAACAAAAGTGAGTCAGAGCTTCTGTTTCCAAGAAGCTCACAACTTCCCTTATGAACTTGAGAACGGCCACTTCCCTTTTCTGGATTTCATCTCCTTTCTCTGTAAAACGAAGGGATTAGACAAGGGTTTGGAGACTCTCAATGAATCTGGGATGCCAACACTTGGTGTGCACCTCACTCTACAGTTTCTTTCTTTTTCTTTTTTTCTCTCTCTCTCTACAGTTTCTATCTCTTATTTGGTCTTCACAACAACCTTGTGAGTTGGTGGGGGCGAGGGGAGTGGCGGGGGTTTAGGTAAGGAAGGGAGACTCAGAGAGATTAAATAACTTAAGCAAAGTTCCACAGATGGTAAGTGGCTGGCTGAAACCACAACTCCAGGTAGATGCTGGATCCAGGGCTCCTTCCTCACCACTTGATGCATAAGACCCTGCCTATAATAAACGCTGCTGGCGCTACATCTTAGCAATCGTCCATAGATCCCAACCATCCAGGATGGGGTACAGGTCACCCCTGGGGGATCCCCTTTGGGGACCAGAGGAAGTGGCTCCTCTCTCCATACCATGCAGTCCATGAGGATGAATTTGAGATTGTCTTCATTAAATGCTTGATTCCCGTTGCGGTCGTAAGCGGCCCAGATGTTGCTGGCGATGGCTGCGGTGACCCGTGCGTCAGTGTCCCCGTAACCAGAGTAGGCCAGCAGAGATCCCTCGTTATTCAGCAGCCTGGAGCGAGGGACAGGGAGGGACAGCGACATGCTCAGTATGGGGAGTCAAAGGCATGGGTTCCCATCCCAGTCCCCGCCACTGACGGTTCTGGAAAGCAAGGGTCCGGGCTGAGTGTGTCCTGGAATGTGACCCAATCAGCCAGCATGTTCCTGAGGGGCCCTCCATGCCAGCTGCCCTAGCTGCTGCCCTTTCCCTTCCCCGAGATCCTTCCCCTCGCCATCCCTCCCTCAGAGAGCCGCGCGCTGCCCCACTCCGGTGCTCGCCACTAGGTCCTCGGCCCACACTCACAAGGTGCTCTGGACACCTCCAGTGTTGGCTTGGCTTAGCACCTGGGTCAGAGCCTTGGGACGCAGCATGCCTGCGATTTCTAAGTCTGGACTCTCGCACCTAGAGACCCTCGAATTGCCTCCTGCGGGGCTCCGCCAGCCGCTTCCGGTACTGCCCTGCTCCAAAGCGCTCTGGGAATTGTAGTTTCCCGGCCTGGCTTTATGGTTCTGCGTCCACCCCGCCGCGCGCGCCACTGGGAATTGTAGTTCCTTGAGGTCTCGCGAGGCACCCTGGGAACTATAGTTCGCCTTTCCACGGAGACCAAAAGGTTATGAGGGACGCGGGGGGAGAGGGGAGTGAAAGGACCGTGGCGGTATCGGAAGACCATTGAACTCCTTCGGGAGAGAGAAAAGTTATCATGTTCGCTTCATAATCCACGAGCCAGCAATTTTTTTTTTAAAATCCCTATATGTGTCAGGCTCACCTTTGGTTATTTTCAAAGTGATTTTCTGCCTTGTGCACCATCCTGTGATGTGGGGTAAGGGCTACTGAGGACACCAAGGCTCGGGAGGGTCACGCGGGCAAAACCCTGTCTGTGGAACCCGAACTGAGAGGAGATTTTGGGGGACGCGCGGAAGGGGAGGAGGTCAGCCTCCCGGGGCAGAGGCCCTGGGCCCAGGAAGGACTTGGTTTCCCGAGAAGGAACGGCCAGCTTCCGCCCGGAGCGGAGAGGAGGAGGCGACACAGAGAACCCTTTGTCCCGCCGCGGGCATGGCCTGCCGGGCGCAGGGGCAGCGGTGGCCGGATGGGGCTGCGGCGGGGTTCGCGCCCTCCGATGGGCCCCGGGCTCCCGCGGGGAGCTGGCCCCACCCCCCAGCTCCCCCCGGTGAGGGCCCCGCCCCGCCCCGCCCCGCCCCGCCCGGGCCTCCGGGGTCAGCGGCCCCCGAGGCCGTGTCCGGCTGCGGGACCGGGCGCCGCCGCGGGCGGCCTCGGCTGCAGTGGCCCCCCCGGGCCGCCCGGGGCGCTGTGGCTGCGGCTGGCCCGCAGTGGGCGGCGGAGCCCGGGGGAGGAAGGGGAGGGGAGGGGAAAGGAGAGGAGGGGAGGGGAGGGGAGGGAGGGGAGGGAGGGAGCGGAGACGGGGTAGCTGGAGGCGCCCGAGCCGAGCCGGGTCAGCGGGGCGGGCGGGGAGGAGCAGGGGGAGGAGGGGGGGAGGAGGAGCCGGGGCGTGCTGGCGGGCGGCCGGGTGGCGGCGGCGGCGGCGGCATGGCGGAGCCGAGCGGGGCCGAGGCGAGGCCCCCCATTCGGGTCACCGTCAAGACCCCCAAGGACAAGGAGGAGATTGTGATCAGCGATCGCGCCTCGGTCAAGGAGGTAGTCCAGGTGGGGGTGGGGGTGGGGCGGGGAGGAGGGGCCCGCGGGTCCGTGCGGGGGGGTGGGGGTGGCTCCGGACGGGCTCGAGGGCCGGGGGAGGCGGGCGGGGCCCGGCGGGCGCTCGGGGGAGCGGGGGGAAGGGGCGGCGGGCGGTCTGCGGGCGATCTGGGGGGGCGCGGCGGGGATGGGAGACCCGGGTTTGCCTTGTGGCCTGGGCTGGGGGCGTGGTGGAGGGTGGGGTGGGGACACCTTGCGCTGGGAAGCGGGGCGAGTGTTTGAGGGGAGCGTGCGCCCCGGTTCCTGGTCGGGGGTCGAGGCTGAGGGGGGGGCGGGCAAAGTGCTGAGCCCGGAGCGCCCGCGGGGGGCGCCACTGTGCGCCCGCGAGACCGCTCCGCGTGCTCCGCACGGGGCGGGGGGTGGGCGGAGGGTGCAGGGTGTCCCTCCGCCGGGGTCCCTCTTGCTGATTCAAACCCTGGCGGTTCCGCGTGGCCCCCAGCCCCCCGGGTGTGCACATTGTGCAGTGGGTGTTCGGTACAGTCGCGTGGAATGAGGGGATCGCGCCCGCGTCCGCCCCCTCCTGGTGGGCTTCACGGAGGCGGGGCTCTCGGCGGCCCTCTGGACGGAAGGGGCATCTGGCCGCTGCCCCTGCCCGGCCAGGGCACGGGTTTTGTTCGGGTGTGATTTGGGGGCTGGTGATGGGTTTGGGAGTCTTCATTTCCCAATCCAGCCTTGAGTAGCATCACTGCCTCCCCCCCAACCTTATAAAATGACTACACTCCTGAATTTAAACATTGTCCCCTGCAAAGCTGGACTTGAAATCAGCTCACTTTTTTATTGATTTCAGAGAGGAAGGGAATGAGAGAGAGAAACATCAATGATGAGCCGAAACCGGTTAGAAACATCAATGATGAGCCAAAACCGGTTTGGCTCAGTGGTAGAGCGTCGGTCTGCGGACTGAAAGGTCCCGGGTTCGACTCTGGTCAAAAGCATGTACCTTGGTTGCGGGCACATCCCCAGTGGGGGGGGTGCAAGAGGCAGCTGGTCGATGTTTCTCTCTCATCGACGTTTCTAGCTCTCTCTCTCTCTCCCTTCCTCTCTGTAAAATATCAATAAAATATATTTTAAAAAAGAAAAGAAAAGAAACATCAATGATGAGAGAGTATCACTGACCGGCTGCCCCCTGCTGGCCCCCCCACTGGGATGGAGCCCTCAACCTGGGCATGTACCCCCAGACCAGAATCAAACCTGGGACCCCTCAGTCCACAGGCTGACGCTCCATCCACTGAGCCAAACTAGCCAGGGCACAGGACATACTCTTAACTCACGAATAGTTAGGTCCATGATAAATAACTGGGATCTATGTGTTGTAGTTGTTCCAAGCGTGCTGGGGTGAGAGAGGGGAGAGAAACCTGGGGCCTGGGGAGAGGAGGCTGAGGGAAACAGGGCTTGAGTCCGAGGCTGTTGCAGGAGCTGAGGCGGAGCGTTCCCTCCGAGGGAACCGGGCAGAGGGACTGAAGAAGGGGCAGGTAGCAGCAGGGCCTCCTGGGCTGGGGGAGCTGGGAGAAGAGCCTCCCCCGGGGCCATCTCCTGGGCGAGGAAAGGAGCAGCTGGAGGGATGGAGTCGGGAGGCAGAAGGGACTTCCCGCCTCGGGAGGGGGAGCCAAAGCCTGCGGAGGCTCTTGGAGAGTCAGTCCCTGGTGGATGGCGTCCAGGGGCCTTTGCAGTGACCTCTGCCTCTGGATCGCAGTTCAAAGAGGAGATCTCCCGGAGGTTTAAGGCTCAGCAGGATCAGCTGGTCCTGATCTTCGCCGGCAAGATCCTCAAGGACGGGGACACTCTGAGCCAGCACGGGATCAAGGACGGGCTCACCGTCCACCTGGTCATCAAGACCCCGCAGAAGTAAGTTCAGGAGAGGAGCGGGTCCAGCTTCCGGTTGGACCCCTTTTCCCTGTCTGATACCCCCACACCCACCTCCGCCCGGAGGACCTAGACCAAGGCCAGGAAAGTGGCTCTTGAGGGGGTTGCCAGGCAGGCTTATGGGCTCACCTGCAGGGGACCGGATCCTGATTTACATCTCCCCGGGGGTGGTCCTAGCTTCTCCCTCCCTCCCTGATTTACTCACCACCCCCTGGCATCGCCCCACGCCAGCTTCAGTGTCTCTAGGACGCAGCCCGGGTTGGGGCGGTAGCTACGCACCCTCTTCTTGTGTTCCCGTAAGCCAGTGTTTCCCAAACTTCTGACATATGTATACCCCTTCTATAATTTTCGTAACACTGAGTGCCCCTCGTATTCATGAGAACGTAGAATTAGGCGCAGCTAAGCACGGTGCAGTGCATATATCCCCACCAAACTCCGGTGCAACGCGTACCCCCACCAAACTCTTCCCGTACCCCTGGGGGTACGCGTACCACACTTTGGGAAACCCTGCACGGCCTAAGCTAAGACTTCCTTCCTCTGTCCTCAGGGCCCAAGACCCAGTTGCTGCCACTGCTTCTTCCCCCTCCACTCCGGAACCTGCCTCAGCACCCTCCACCACGCCTGCTTCACCTGCCACCCCGGCCCAGCCCTCCACCTCTGGCGGTGCCCCTTCGGACGCTGGCAGTGGGAGCCGGAGGAGCAGTGCGGGGGGTCCCTCCCCAGGGGCTGGGGAGGGCCCTCCCAATGCTACCACGTCCATACTCTGTAAGCCCTGAGGGACTGGGGGTGGAGGAGAGCCCAGAGAAGGGAGAAGCATGGTCCCCACTCACGATCTGATGGGGATGGAGGACCCCTGGACATAGGACTTTCCAGTTAGGGGGAGCGTGGGGCAAAAGCTAGAGTCAGGGGAAATGGGGCTGGAGATATGGGGAGTCAGTGGTGAAGACGTAGGTAGGGACAGAAGTGGGTCCAACAGTAGTCAGATGGGGGATATTGATTTACTCACTCACCAGGCCATCAGGGGGTGCCCTCTGTGCCCAGGACTATGCCGGCTCCCAGCCTCTGCCACAAGGAGGGCTCAGTCTGGCAGGCTGACATCTCTGCCAGCAGGTTCAGGGCTGGGGCTGTGGGAATGCCCCGGAAAGGGAGTGTGAGAAGCAGAGGGGCCCGCCCTGGAGACCGGAACTCAGTGCTCTGACCAGGCGGGGGAGGGCTCCCGCCGCAGACCGTGACTCTGCCTCCCCCCGCAGCTGGCTTTGGGGGCATCCTCGGCCTGGGCAGCCTGGGCCTGGGCTCCGCCAACTTCATGGAGCTGCAGCAACAGATGCAGAGGCAGCTGATGTCCAATCCCGAGATGCTGTCGCAGATCATGGAGAACCCGCTGGTCCAGGACATGATGTCGAACCCGGACCTGATGCGCCACATGATCATGGCCAACCCGCAGATGCAGCAGCTGATGGAGCGGAACCCCGAGATCAGCCACATGCTCAACAACCCCGAGCTCATGAGGCAGGTGGGTGTGAGAGAGGCGGGGCGGGGGTGCCTGCCGTCCTTTCTTTCCCCACCTTGTCCTGCTTGGATTTGCTCACTCATTTGTGCAGCAGCTGGGTTCTGCACACTTGGGTACAGTGATAAAAAGCACTAGCTTTTCAGGAGCTCCTGATCCTAAAGAAAAACCGGACAAGTAGCTGAAAACAGTTTGGCTCAGTGGATAGAGCGTCAGCCTGCGGACTGAAGGGTCCTGGGTTCGATTCCGGTCAAGGGCATGTACCTTGGTTGCGGGCACATCCCCAGTGGGGGGGGTGCAAGAGGCAGCTGATCCATGTTTCCCACTTTCTCATCGATGTCTCTAGCTCTCTATCCCTCTCCCTTCCTCTCTGTAAAAAATCAATAAAATAGCCGAGACCGGTTTGGCTCAATGGATAGAGCGTCGGCTTGGGGACTGAAGGGTCCCGGGTTCAATTCCGGTCAAGGGCATGTACCTTGGTTGCGAGCATATCCCCAGTAGGGGGTGTGCAAGAGGCAGCTGATCGATGACTCTCTCTCTGTCTCTAACTCTCTATCTCTCTCCCTTCCTCTCTATACAAAATCAATAAAAATATATTTTTTTAAAAAACCAATAAAATATATATTTTTTAAAAGGGACAAGTAAGCAGACAGTGATAATGCAGTACGATCAGTACTGTCATACGGATAGTCGCAGGGTCCCCAGGAGCTCAGAGAGGCGGTCTTGACTCTACGCGGGCTCCATGGAGGCCTCCGAGAGGAAATGCCACCCAAGCTGAGCCAGAGGAAGGGCCAATGGGCAGCAGTGCCAAGGCCTGGGGGTGAAAGAGAGCAGGGTATTTATTCGGGGAGCCCTGAGGATGGCCAGGGCCGGAGAGTGGGGGAGGTAAGGCAGTTTGGTTTGGTCTCTGGGAGCTCCGGCTCATGGCCTGTCCACCAGGGGACAGGGAGAGACAGCCTCAGCCGAACTGTGGGCACTCGTGCCGGACTCGCCAGGCGATGAGCTTCATTAGGACAAGGATTTGCAAGTGTTTTGTTCACTGTCTAGGACAGTGCCCAGTGTATTCGTAGTCACTCAGTAAATTATTGAATAACTGAATTATGGGACAAGAGATCAGAATCATGGCTTAGACATAAGGGTATCGTAGAAGAGTGTGGAGCAAATTTGGGAAGAAGAACAGGGCAGGAATTGGATGGGCACAAGACAGCCGTGCTCATGTTTTCCGTCATGTACTGCCGTCCACTGGAATTGCCACAGGCTGTTCTTTATTGAGAGTGAGCCATTGGCACGAAAGAGAAAGCCCCATCCTCCCATGTAGTCAGGCCATAGACCTGGGGAGGGGAGTTCAAGGGTGTCGGTAGCATTGCCCCAGCTCGAATCCTTTCCCTCCTCAACGTATCTTTTACCAGGAGGCAGAGCTGGTGTTGGCCAGACAGACTGACCTGGCCTTGACAGCTGGCTCCACCACCAACTGGCTGTGTGTCCCAGGCAGTGAGTCTCTGAACCTATTTTTTCTTCTGCAAAATAGGAGCAGAGATACTTACTTGGGACTGTTATTGAGATGAAATGACTTAAATTCTGTAAATTAGTCCAAGGCCGGTATGGAGTAGGTGCTCGAGAGATGTTAACTTTTGTTTCTGCCTCCTCCCCTTTCCCATGTCCATTCTTACTCAGTATCCCTCCCTCTGCTCCCTGACCCCTGACCCCCCTGTGGGCCCCCTGACCCTGAAGGAGGGAAGCTGCTGCTATGATCCCTCCTGTGATCATTGTATCTCACTGGAACAGGCCAACTAGATGCCCACAGGGAAGGTGGTTGGGACCAGAGTGACAGGAAGGAAGGAAGTCTAGTCGACCCTATTCTCTGCCACAGGAGGGCAGACCCTGGTCTCCTCAGGCCCATCCTTTGCAGGCTTGGTGCTCACTGGTTCTGAGGCCCATTCTGTCTCTCTGCCTTCCCCGCCAGACGATGGAGCTCGCTCGAAACCCAGCCATGATGCAGGAGATGATGAGGAACCAGGACCGGGCCCTCAGCAACCTGGAGAGCATCCCCGGAGGGTATAACGCCCTCCGCCGCATGTACACTGACATCCAGGAGCCCATGTTCAGTGCTGCCCGGGAGCAGGTGGGGCCAGGGGCTGGGCGTTAGGCGGGCTGTCTGGCCAGAGGTCCCCTACCTCCAGACCCAGGAGCACCTGGGGTGCTGTCTGCTCCTCTTTCTAGTCCCACCCTCCACCCCTGAGGGTGGGCCTTGGCTTGGAAATGGTTCCCATAATGCATAGTCAGAGGTGGTCCAACGTGGCATGGGACTGAGGCACCAGGGCAGCATGTAGCAGAGTTCCCCGGGGAAGAGGGTGAGGCATAGAGACCAAGGGGTTTGATGTTGTTCTGACGAACTTCTGGCACGAGGGGTTCGAAGGTTGTGGTCAGGTCTGGGGTCAAACAGCTGATCCCAGCACAGTGTCTCAAGTGTGGTCCAGAGATCACCTGTGGTAGAATCGCCTGAGGAGCTGGTTAATGATGAGGTTCCGTGTCCCTCCCTTTGAGCTACTAAAGGACACGATCTCTGGAGTCAGCCTCTAAGAGTATGCATTTTTAAACTTAAAGCAAACAAACAAAAAATTTAATTGATTTTAGAGAGGAAGGGAGAGGGAGAGAGAGAGAAACATCAGTGAAGAGAATCCTTGATCAGCTGCCTCCTGGATGCCCTCTACTGGGAATTGAGCCCACAACCTGCAACCCGGGCACAGGCCCTCCCCCCTCCCCAATCCAATTGTGACCTGGTTCGTAGGTTGATGCTCAACCACTGGGCCACACCAGCCAGACTGGGAATATGCACTTTAAAAAATGCTTTATGAATTCTTTCCAAATGTACAACAAATGTAGATAAAAATAGAGCATTCTGTCAGCTCCATGTTGCCCTCATATGCTGCCATATATAGTTTCAGAGCCTCTTTTGGTTCTTTCTTTTTTTTTTTTAAGTTTAATTTACATCAAATACATGTACATGTTTCAAAATTCAAAAGGTACACAAAGTAAACAAAAGGCCATGTAAAAAGCTTGGAAAGGCCAAAACCGGTTTGGCTCAGTGGATAGCCCGTTGGCCTGCGCACTGAAAGGTCCCAGGTTCGATTCTGGTCAAGGGCGTGCGCCTTGGTTGCGGGCACATCCCCAATAGGGAGTGTGCAAGAGGCAGCTGATCGATGATTCTCTCACATTGATGTTTCTAACTCTATCCCTCTCTCTTACTCTCTGTAAAAAATCAATAAAATATATTTAAAATAATAATAATAATAATAAATAAATAAATAGCACGGAAAGGAATACAATACAAAAGGGATCCCACCTTCTCCGACCACTTCCTTCTTAGCCCAAGTTAATGACTGTCGTTAATGTTTTGTATATGTTCCTGTACATATTTAACATTTGCAAGTAAGACATTACAGTCAGAATGGCAGCCTTCTCTCTGGTCTTCTTTCCTTCTCCAGAGCTACCTGCCACCCTGAAGTTGGTGTTTGTCAGTTTGATTATTCATATATGTGTCCATAAGTAATCTATAGTTTTGTTTTGCATATTTTTCAACCTTCTAGAAGTAGGATCATGTTGTTCATATGACTTTTTAACTTGCTTGTTAAGCATTTTTAAAAAGTTTTATTGAAGGATAAATCAGTGACAGAAAGGTGCACGTAAGTGTACAGCTGGATGGATTTCCACAGACTGAACCCCTCCCGCAGCCAGTACTCAGGCGGGAGGAAGGCTCTCATGTCACTTTTTCTCTGTGGAAAGGAAAAGGCACCGTGTCTGGAGTGGCCCCTGACACCCAACAGGTTCCTTGTTCATGCCGCCTCTGTCCTGCACCAAGGCTCCACAAATGAGCGCATGTCTTTCTGGCTCTGCTCAGTCCCACTGGTCCGTCCGTCTGTCCCTGCGGTGCTGCCACATTGTCTTATTTAAGCCTGGACATCTGGCGGAGCGAATACCCACCTTATTCTTTTTTTTTTCTTTCTTTCTTTTTTTCTTAATATATATTTTATTGATTTTACAGAGAGGAAGGGAGAGGGTATCGATTAGCTGCCTCCTGCATACCCCCCACTGGAGATGTAACTGCAACCAAGGTACATGCCCTTGTCCGGAATCGAACCTGGAATTCCTCAGTCCACAGGGGGAGGCTCCATCCACTGAGCCAAACCGGTTAGGGCCCTCACCTTATTCTTTTTCTTTTTTTAAAATATATTTATTGATTTTTTTACAGAGAGGAAGGGAGAGAGATAGAGAGCTAGAAACGTTCGATGAAAGAGAAACATCGACCAGCTGCCTCCCGCACACCCCCTACCGGGGATGTGCCCGCAACCAAGGTACATGCCCCTGACCGGAATCGAACCTGGGACCTTTCAGTCTGCAGACCGACGCTCTACCACTGAGCCAAACCGGTTTCGGCCCCACCTTATTCTTAACATCATCTTGTTTTTGGAGATTGCTCTTTCAAATTTTAGAAACTGCTTGTAGGGATCAACTATGAATTTTTTTTTTTTTTTAACTATGAATTTTTAAAGGAATTTATTTATTTATTTTAAATGTTATTTAAGTATTTAATTTATTATTTTTTAAAATATATTTTATTGATTTTTTTACAGAGAGGGATAGAGAGTCAGAAACATCGATGAGAGAGAATCATCAATGAGCTGCCTCCTACACACCCCCCACTGGGGATGTGCCGGAAACCAAGGTACATGCCCTTGACCGGAATCGAACCTGGGACCTCTCAGTTGCAGGCTGATGCTCTATCCACTGACCAAACCTGTTTCAGCTTAAGTATTTAATTTAAAATGTACATCAAAGTAATGCATTCACCTAGTTAAAAAAAAAAAAAATCAAGTAGTTGAGAGAAGCTGAAGCACCCCAGTTAATTCTGATGCACTGAGGTGTGCGAGCCACCGGGGTAGCTGAGGCACACAGCAGTTGGCATCCACAAACCTGGGTTCGAATACCTGCTTCACCATTGTGTGGCGATGTGGTTTTCAGTGAGTTTCCTGACTCCTCTCAGCCTTAGCGCCCTCATTTCCACAATGGAAGCAACGTATTACCGCAGAGGTTCTCGACCATTTCAGTCTCAAGATCCCTTTATACTCTTAAAAATTATTGAGGACCCCCAAATGCATTGGTTTCCATGGCTTAGATCTGATATTCACTGTATGTAAAATTAAAACTAAGAAAAGTTTTAAATGCTTATTAATTCATTTTAAAATAACAATAAATTCATTACATTAACATAAGTAGCACATTTTTAAAAAAATAACTTTATTTTCCAAATCAGAACTTAGAGGAAAGAGTGGCCCTATTATGTTTTTGTTGTTGCTTTTTTATTATGCGGCATTTTTGTGTGTTTTTTTGTTGATTCCTGTATGTGCCTTGACCAGGGATCGAACCTGTAACACTGGCATATTGGGACGACACTCTAACCAACTGTGCTATCTGGCCAGGGTGTTGTTTTACATTTTTCCAGATCTCTTTAATGTCTGGCTACAAAGCAGCTGCATTCTCAAATCTGCTTCTGCATTCAGTCCGCTGCAGTGTCACATGTTATGTATGCAGTCCTTGGAAAACTCGACTCAATACTCCTGAGAGAGCAATAGTGAAAAATGCAAATAACGCCGAGACCAGTTTGGCTCAATGGATAGAGCGTCGGCTTGGGGACTGAAGGGACCCGGGTTCGATTCTGGTCAAGGGCACGTACCTTGGTTGCGGGCATATCCCCAGTAGGGGGTGTGCAAAAGGCAGCTGATCGATGACTCTCTCTCATCGATGTTTCTAGCTCTCTATCTCTCTCCCTTCCTCTCTATACAAAATCAATAAAATATTTTTAAAAAAAAAGAAAAACGCAAATAACATCTTAGAATTACAAAAATAGTTTTGAACCTTTGAGGGGTCCTAGGACCACACTTTGAGAACTGACATATTGCAGGGATATTGCAAACATTACAATAAATGGCAACTGTTCTCGCTATAGGGAGTTAGAAACAGAGATTTAGTCCTTAGGGTAAACCAGGAAGAACAAAACCGGGCCCCAAAGTTGGGTGCTAGTCAAGTTACCAGAACAGGAAATCTGAAACAGGGGCAGAGACTGAGACCAAGGTGCACGAACTCTGGCCTGCAAGCCCCGTTATCTGAACAGGCAGCTGGTGAGGTGCAAGAACCACAGCTCAGAGCAGCAGAGTCCTTGGTGCTCCGTGGTCCCCATGACCCACTTTGAATAAAGAGAAAAGTGAGTGGATGTGAAACTGTAAACTGTACGGTAGGGAGGGCTGAGGCTGCTCAGAGACCTGCTTAGGGCAGGACTGCCTAGGAACTCGGCAAAGAGGCTGAGCCAGGGAAGTGGGGCTGGGACTTCCCCAGCAAGCACACCCCTGAACCAGGTGCTCCCTTAGGCAGCGCCAACGATGATCCAGACCCTGAGATAACCCTGCGTGACTTGGTGGGAGCCCGGCATGGCGGGGGCCTGAGCAGCTGGTCAGAGGAGATAGGCTGGGCGTGGGGGGAGGAGACGGAAGGCCTAGAGGGACGGAGCCCATGTAGGGACCCAGGCAGTGAGGGAGGAGGCTCTGGGGAGTTAGCGTTGGGCCAAGATGGTTGGAAAAGGGGAAACGAGGCAAATCAGCTTTGAAGGAAAAGCCAACACTTACTTACTGAGCACCTGCGAGTGTCAGGAGCAGGGTGTGGAGGTGAGTCCAATTCTGTGCCTGAGGAGCGGGGGAAACGGCCTCGCTGCCCGCACACGGGGAACGGTGTGTGTGAAGTACCGTGGAGCACAGCGGAGACTAGAGACCAAATATTTAGCGCCACTAGGGGAGGGGACGTTTCCAGTGTCCTGAGGGCTTCAGTTATCCAGTCCTGTAGGATGGGGTGGAGCTGCCCGTTGTGGGGCTGAAAATTGAGCGGAGGATTCCTAAGGTCTCAGATCTCCCTTTCCTGGGAAGGGGAGGCTACTAGGTGAGAAGAAAGAGGGGTGTAGCCCTTGTCCCTGCTTTGTTTCAGTCCTTAACCCGAACCCTTTCCCTCCTCCCAGTTTGGCAACAATCCCTTCTCTTCCCTGGCCGGGAACTCCGACAGCTCATCCTCCCAGCCTCTGCGGACTGAGAATCGAGAGCCCCTCCCTAACCCCTGGAGCCCCTCGCCCCCCACCTCCCAGGCCCCCGGGTCCGGTGGGGAGGGCACCGGAGGATCGGGGACCAGCCAGGTGCACCCGACAGTCTCGAACCCCTTTGGGATCAATGCGGCTAGCCTGGGGTCAGGTATGTCCTAGGTGGAAGGAGCACAGTGGGTCTCCAGGGCAGTCCCTCTGGCCCAGGACTGAATGGGGGTCATACTGTGCAGAATGTGGAAGACAGAGGTGAGACTATGGGAGCCACAGAGGGCAGTGGCTCCCCCCTCAGTGAGGGCTGGTTCAACCAGGCCCTGATATCTTCGGAAGAGACCTAAGAATTGGCTCACCAATAAGCCAGCCCCACCTTCTGAGCTCTTTCAGCCACGAGTGGTACTGTCCAGTGTCAGTGGGTCAGACGGGATGAGGGTATTGAGAGGAACCAGGGCAGACCCGGGGACACAGGGCAGATTGGGGTGGGAGTGGGGGGTCCGTGCAGAGCTGCCATGCACAGGAGTGCAGGTTGTGACTTTACCACCTTGGGGAAGCCCATTTGTCTGGACTCCGGCTGTGTGTAAGACCCAGGGATGTCTCTGATAGATGTCCTGATTTCCCTGTTCCCTGGGGGACATCTGTATTGGGATAGTCCCTTCCCCTCTATGTGCTTCAGTTCCCTTATTTATAAAACAAGGGACTTGAACCTGACTCATGGTCTTAAAAGTGCGCCCCTGAGTTTTGGAGACTCTGGGCCATCCTCGGGATGAGAAAGGACCAAAGGGGAGAGGCTCATGCTTGGTTTCCGCATGAGGTTTGGTTTGAGGAAAGAGTCTGCTGCTAAAACAAGTTTGAAAGCCATTGATCGAAGTGATCTTTAGTCACATCCTTTCCAACTCAGACATTATCTGAGCTTGTGAAAGGGTCAGAGCCAGTGTCCAGCTGGCGTGGCTTGTCCTCAGCAGAGTGGATGGGAGAGGGACGGGCCAAAGCGGGGGTCGGGCCTTGCCTAAGACCTGGGCACCCCTTGTGCCGCTGCCTCTCCGGGTTTTGTGAGCACTCGTGTCAGAAGTGAGGCAGGTTGGTGTGGCGTCTGGTTTCCATCTGGACCCCTTCTCTCCTGTCCGGTTTGTTTTCCTCCCGCCTCAGGGATGTTCAACAGCCCGGAGATGCAGGCGCTGCTCCAGCAGGTCTCCGAGAACCCGCAGCTGATGCAGACCGTCATCTCCGCCCCCTACATGCGCAGCATGGTGCAGGCGCTCGCCCAGAACCCCGACTTCGCAGCTCAGGTAGGGGCTGTCCCGGGGAGCACTGTGGGCAGTTCCTGGGGGTCAGACACTCGGGAGCCAGCCTGCCTGGGTTTGTGTCTCAAGCGTCAGCTCGTCCTCGCTGTGTAGGCTAAGCGAGGAATTGAACCTCCAGCTTCCTCAGCTGTAAACCGGAAACAGCAGTTCCTCATAGGTTTGTGAGGATTAACGAGTTGATGCATCTCAAGTGCTTTGAACTTGGCCTCGCACATCGTGGGCACTGTGTGCTCGTCATTATCGGACCCGGGGCTGCCCGGAGTACAGTTCTATTTCCTCTTGCTGTCCCACTTAGGCCTTCGGGATACTTTGAGGTCCGTGGAAAAGCTGGCCAGATTCCCGGCAGTGTAGGGGTGCCGAGGGAGACTGAGGCTGTGGGGGATTCTCAGGGGGGTGGGCCCAGGCCTCCCTCCTACCTTGACCCGGCAGATGATGGTGAACGTGCCGCTCTTCGCGGGGAACCCCCAGCTCCAGGAGCAGCTCCGCCTGCAGCTCCCCGTCTTCCTGCAGCAGGTGAGCGAGGAGCCCAGAGGGCAGGGGGGGACCCTGAACCCCAAGGGGCGGAGCTTGGCCCTGGACTCGGGGTTTCGGCTGCTTCCTGTCTCCTGCCACCTCCCTTTGCCTTTCTCTGCTCATTTCCCACCAGATGCAGAACCCGGAGTCGCTCTCCATCCTTACCAATCCCCGCGCCATGCAGGCGCTGCTGCAGATCCAGCAGGGATTGCAGACTCTGCAGACTGAGGCCCCCGGGCTGATACCCAGGTGAGGGCAGGAGGCAGGTGGGCAGCAAGGTTCTGGCGACTTCTCCCCTCAACCCCTCCCTCTGCCACCCCGAGCAGCCATGTATCTGTTTTTCTGTTTCCTCCAATTGCTTTCCTTCCGGATCTCATGTTCCATCCTTTCTGAGAGGCCGTCTCCCACCTTTCGGTCTCTCCTGTCTGCAGCCTTGGCTCCTTCGGGATGTCCCGGACCCTGGCACCCTCAGCAAGCAGCAACACCGGGCCTGCACCCGAGGCCCCCACCTCCTCTCCAGCCCCCCCAGCCACGTCTCCCACAGGGGCTTCCAGTGCTCAGCAGCAGCTCATGCAGCAGATGATCCAGCTTTTGGCAGGAAGTGGAAACTCACAGGTACCCGGGAGCGGGGCTGGTGCTGGAACCGCCGCTCCATCCTGATGGTGTCTGGGGTCGCAGTGGAATGAGGGAGCAGAGCAGGCTCTGGAGGCAGCCAGACCTGCTTACACCCTGGCCTGCCGCCTTCTAGCCTTGGGCAAGTGACTGATCTTCCCTAAGTTCAGTGTCCACAACTGTAAAATGGAGAAGAGAATAGTAATAGCACTTACCATGAGCTCATTTAATTTACTTCTCACAGCAGCCTTCGAGGGAGCTGTTATTACAAGTCCTGTGTTACAAAAGGAGAACACTGAAGCCCGGGCAGCTTAAGGGGCTTGCTCAGGCATAAGCCAGTGGGTAATGGAGCCATGATTCAAACTGAGGCATGCTGGCTCCAGGATTTACCCTGTAACTGCTGTGCTTTATCACTTCTACTCATACCATGGGATTCTTTTTTTTTTCTTTTTGAAATATTTTTATTGATTTCAGAGAGGAAGGGAGAGGGAGAGAGAGCTAGAAACATCAGTGATGAGAGAGAATCGTTGATCGGCTGCCTCCTGCATGTGCCCTCCTGGCTATCAAGCTCACAACCCAGGCATGTGCCCTTGACCAGAATTGAAACTGGGACCTTTTAGTCCTCAGTGCTGACGCTCTATCCACTGAGCAAAACTGGCTAGGGCCACGGGATTCTTTTGCTAATTAAGTCAGCCTCCATCTCTGAGAACTGAGAGATGAGTTAACTAAAGCCTGGGGTACGAAGTGGAGGCTAGGGGTTTGAGGGAGTGAGGATGACTTCGGGCAAACCTCTTTTAACCTTCCTCTGTCCTTTGTAACTCATCCGGGAAAAGCCTGTCCATAGACATGAAGGCAGGCCCAGTTCTGTGCAAATGCTGGACCAAGGGATCGCCAAGGGGAGCCCAGCTTAAGTCCTGCGGGTGCCCCGAGCACTGCGGCCAGCAGCCCGGTGGCCCGTGACTGCTGGCTCCTTCAGCTCTGAGCCGTCTGGTCGTGACCTAGGCTAGTGCTTCATAAACATGCTTGGGAAACACTCCTAGGAGATGTTCACAGGAGTGTCAGATAGGAAAAGCCTGCCTCTTTTGTAAATAGCTGTTTGTGGTTTGGTTAGCATTCAACAGATTCTTTCTCTCCTGCAGCCATTCTCTGGCCTTTCCTACGACTGTACGTGTGAGGATGGCTGGAGGGGGGTTAGAGGTGGTGGTTAGTACACATCTTATCCGCCACAGAGCGTTTGGCGTGTGGAGTACCTGTTATCATCTCCAGACTGTTGATGGAACGTGGTTAGGAATATAAGCTGACCTGTCTGTTACTTGAAATGTTGCTCAGTTGTTTGCAGCTCACCACCTGCTCCATTGATTGGCTCTGAGGATGTTGGAGGAGACCTGCAGGTGTCTTCTCTTCATTGTAAACCCCCAGCTGCGGAAGTCGGTCCTGTGCCCGCTTCACAAGGCCTGTCCCCTGTAGGTGCAGACGCCAGAAGTGCGATTCCAGCAGCAGCTAGATCAGCTCAGCGCCATGGGCTTCATCAACCGGGAGGCTAACCTGCAGGCGCTGATTGCCACAGGAGGGGACATCAATGCGGCCATCGAGAGACTCCTGGGCTCGCAGCTCTCCTGATCCTGCGTCCGTGCCGCCTGCTTCTCCCTTCCCTGGATGCCAGCCTCTGTCCTGTCAGCTCCTGCCCTCTGCAGCTTGTCATCCCTGTCCTCTCCCTGTCCTCTCCAGACACAGGGTGGCTTCAGAGGCGTGGCCCCCAGCCCTGTAGCTCTGCCTGGGAATTTTGGTTCTACTTCTACTTCTTACAGACTCTTCTCTCCTGCTCCAGCTGGAGCAGAACTGATTCACGGTCTTCACGGTTTTGTTGTTGGCCCCACAGCCGCCTTTGCAATCTTCACACTTTTCAGCGCAGCACAGAGTTGAACGAGGGACTCTCTGGTTAATGGAACATGGTCTTTCACCTGTACCACTGGGGTTTTGCTCGGCTCATGTTTACTTTTGGTAACTCTCTTCTTTCTTTCCCCACCCCCTCTCACCTCCAGCCTACCCAGTGCTAGAACTTCATCCTCTGAAGGAGGGGCAGGTGAAGCAGGTTGAGATTTTCCTCCTCACTCCCCCCCCCCCCCCCCCCGCAGTGCTTTTTAATGGGTCGGTTGGGACTTCCAGGGGGAGGAAGATGCCTGTTCTTCCTGTCTGAAGGAGGAGATAAGACACAATCCTCTGAACAAGGAATTAACCAGCCCAACAGAGTCTGGTGCACGGGAGAAGGGTCTGAGATTTCTAGTTCAGGGACGGCAGAGGAGACTTAGAGATGCTAATGTAGCTTGAGTTAAAAGGGGCTCAATGAAGCTAAGGGAGATGGCTCATAAGGGGCCATATTGGCTCCATTTCCTCAAACACACATGCTTATGTGTGTACACACACATACACACACACACACACACACACACATTTCCATGCACCCAGGACCTGTCTGTGTCCCCAGGTACCAGTGATCTGAGCTCCCCCTTAAAAGACATGAAGTGGGTTGGGGTCTGGCTCGGCAGTGGGTGCGTGTGGTGGTGGTGCATATGGGTTGAATAGAAATGGATTCTTGGCTGATTTCTGGTTCAGAGCCCCCTCACCAGAGAAATAGGCGAAAGGGCTAGTCTAGGGCAGGGATATGTACGGCCCAGGGAGCTAGGTCCCTCGGGCCTCTGGATGCTGGGTAACTCAAGGGTAGTGTGGATTCTCCTTTTACCAGGACTGTGACCAGCACCCTCCCACCCCCCTCCTGATCGCTGCAGGGAATGGTAGAAGGGTCTTTCCGTCTAGAACCCCTGGCCCTTGTCCTTTGAGTTCTTCACGGTTCCCTCCAGGCCAGGAAGTTCTGTTTGAGAAGGAAAGGAGAGGCTGGCCATGCTGCCTTGGACCTGGAGTTGGACGTTAACTAGCTTGGAGCACAGAGGAGGCTCATAGCACCTCCTCTCTCTGCTCCTTAGCCAGCTGCTTGGGCCCATGGCGGAGAATACGGAGGTATGAGAACAGAATTCTCTCCAAGTGGGAAAGGGTCCCAAGCACTCTAGAGAGGGTGTCTGCGTGGCTCCTCTCCATCCTTCCCTCAGCTCCCACACTGGCCTTTGTAAATAAAGGGCGTGGTCTTTGTTGTGAGTGTGTCTTGGTGTTTGTCTTCGGGAGTGGGGGGGAGACTAGCTGAAGACAACTTCTTTGTCTTAGAGGGTTTTATAAAGAGGATCTAGAGGAATTTGAAGTTCGGTTCACTTACTACAGATGTTAAGAAACATTGAAAGTTAAGGGATAACAGATCATGGGATATTTATAACCCATGGTTTAGGAATGAGAAGGGTTGCATTTTTCCATTCCCCATCCCCAGACCATAAAATACCTGATTCCTCATCCTACCCTCCACTCCCACCCCCATTGGCCAATCTGGGAGAGGATTATATACTTTTGAAAAAATATATATTTTTATTGGTTTCAGAGAAGAAGGGAGAGAGAAATACTAATGATGAGAATCATTGATCGCCTGCCTCCTGCATGCCCCCTAGTGGGGATTGAGCCACAACCAGGATATGTGCCCTTGACTGGAATCAAACTGGGACCCTTTAGTCTGCAGGCTGATGCTGTGTCATTGAGCCAAACCAGCCAGAGCAAGGAATGCATACTTCTGTCTGATCTTTTGGCAAGACCGCTCTCTGCTTACTTCAGGTAAAAAGGTAAAACACACACACACACTAAAAAAAACCCTTGAATCCAGATCTTATGCAGGTGGAGTTTAGTAGTTCTTAGTCTTGATCTCTGAGACTAAACCTGACTCTATCACTAATTGTGTGAAATTTTTATCTTGTATAGTGAGGTTATGGCCTGGAGTTCTGTGATATATGAATATGTTATGGTGGGAGGTTCCACTTCTGACTATGGTATTCTGGATATTTTAGACCAACATTCTCACTAGAAAAATTTTTTAAAGTTTTTATTGATTTTAGAGAGCGAGAGAGAGAGAGAAACATTTATTTGTTGTTCCACTTATGCATTCATTGGTTGCAAGATTGACCTTGCAATCTTGGTTTATCAGGAGGATGCTCTAACCAACAGAGTTACCTGGCCAGGGCCTCACTAGAAATGTTTACAGTTCGATGCAATATATATTTAAAAAATCTAAAAGCATCAAAGAGCCAACAAGATTGGCTGGGAATCCAGAGAGGAAAAACAGCCTAAAGATGACCTTTGTCCTGGGAGTTTTTGCCACTTGGGAAAAGTTGCTGAGAGGATTTGAGAGCCTTGAAGAAAAGGGACAAAAAGTTAGAATCTTTGGCCAGCTAAAGATTGGGATGCTGCCGAAACCGGTTTGGCTCAGTGAATAGAGCGTCTGTGGACTGAAAGGTCCCAGGTTCGATTCGGGTCAAGGGCATGTACACCCCCAGTGGGGGGTGTGCAGGAGGCAGCTGGTCGATGTTTCTCTCTCATTGACGTTTCTAGCTCTCTATCCCTCTTCCTTCCTCTCTGTGGAAAACCAATAAAATATATTTAAAAAAATTAAAAAATAAAAATTGGGCCGAGACCGCTTTGGCTCAATGGATAGAGCGTTGGCTTGGGGACTGAAGGGTCACGGGTTCGATTCCGGTCAAGGGCATGTACCTTGGTTGTGGGCATATCCCCATTAGGGGGTGTGCAAGAGACAGCTGATCGATGACTCTCTCTCAACGATGTTTCTAACTATCTCCCTCTCTGTACAAAATCAATAAAATATATATTTTTTTAAAATAAAGATTGGGATGGTGATAAAAATCCAGCATTTGAACTAGGACCTCCTAGAAGTGGATCAGAAGTAAGCCATTCCTCATATTCAGCAGCCTAGCCTCCCACCTTTCTGGATGGTGCAGAAATTCGTAAGCCTCAATTTTAGGAATAAGATGATCCCAGATTGCTATCATATCTAGATGCATGATAGGATCAAGCAGAAATCTCAAGGAACGTAACATCAACATAGACCTCAAAATTATTATAATGAATAATTTTTCAAATATAACATCAACCACAATAAAAATTAAGCAGTTGAAGAGATAAGGTAATATGAGACCAAACAGAAATGATGGACAATAAACAGAACCATAGCAATTCCACATATTGAAATTATACAAGTGAAAACAACTGTGCTTAGTATTACAAGATAAAAGCCATGCTTAGAGCCAGGACCGGTTTGGCTCAGTGGACAGAGCGTCGGCTTGGGGACTGAAGGGTCCCAGGTTCGATTCCGGCCAAGGGCATGTACCTTGGTTGCGGGCATATCCCCAGTAGGGGGTGTGCAAGAGGCAGCTGATCGATGACTCTCTCTCATCGATGTTTCTAACTCCCTATCTCTTTCCCTTCCTCTCTGTGTAAAATCAATAAAATATATTTAAAAATAAAAAATAAAAAAAATAAAAGCCATGCTTAGAAATTTCAGTGGAGACATGAAACTATAAAAATGGACATAGCACGCCCTAGCCGGTTTTGTTCAGTGGATAGAGCTGTCCTGCAGACTGAAGGGTCACGAGTTCGATTTCAGTCAAGGGCATGTACCTTGGCTGGATCCCCACCCCGGGTGGGTGCATATGGGGGCAACCAATCAACCGATGGGTGTATCTTCTCCCATCTGTGTTTCTGTCTCTTCCCCCTCCCTTCCACTCTAAAAATTAATGGGAAAATGTCCTTGGGTGAGGACTAACAAAAATAAACAAACATTGACTCTAAAACAAAAATGACAATGTCTCCTGGAGTTTAAAATATATAAAAAGAAACGTTAAATGTGACCACAGCACAGAGTCAGACTGGTAAGTGGAGTTTGCACCTCAAATGAATTCTAAATAAAGCTCAGGGCTTGGTTACTTACTGGATGTAGGGGGTGACAAAGAATTCTAGTAACCCTGAGAGAAATAGCTTTTCTCTAATTCCTGGTTTGACAGTGCACTCGCCATTCTCAATGTATGATCAAAATCTCTAGGTATGCCGATTCCGCAAAACAGCTGATCAGGTGCTGGCCACATGCGGTAAGGGCAAACCAGCTTGAAGAGCCATTGAAAGGGGCAGAATAATAAAGCAAGAACTGCCTCGTGCCTCCGAGGTCCCCGGGCTCTACAAAGGGAAAGGTGGGGCTTGTCCAAGAACTACAACTCCCAGAAGGCATGGGGCGGAGCACCGGAGTTTCCGGTCAAAGCTTATTTCCGGTCTTTCGGATGCTGACGCTCTTTTCCGGTACTGGTTCCTCCCCTCCCCCAAAGGCTTCTTTGGGGTGCACGGTGAGTCCCGAGCTGGAGCACCTCAGCTAGCGGCCGAGGGTTAGCGGGGGAGGAGGGCGGAGTGGGTGCGCCGCGGGAGGACGTTTAATCTGGGGAGAGGCGGGAAGGGGGCCGTGCAGACTGAGCCCCGGGAGGGAACCACAAAAGGATGTGGGGCGAGGAGAAAGGATCCCGGGGGAAGGATGGAGGACGGGATGCGGGGTGTGTGGGAAGACCCCGCGAGCGGCGGTGGGGTCTCAGTGGAGCTGGGCGATGGAGGAGAGGGCCACGTTCCGGAAGGCAGCAGCCGTGGGGTCTCCTGTGTCAGGGAAAGCTGGGGGTGCTGCAGGTCTGAGATGGGCCGAACTCGGGCACCCCAAGAAAAGCCCTATTGTAGCCGCATGGTGTCGTCTCAGAAGACCCTCTCAGTTGGGGAGAGGGTGGTGGTTATGCCGGTGCTTAGACAGATTATCTGAAGGCTTGCAGGGTGGGGATGGCAGGAGAGGCGCGTGTAGGTCCGTTCCAGCGGCTTAGAGACTGCTCTGTGGAAGGGGCTGCTGTTTTCGGAACATCAAAGAGCTTCCATAAACAACATACGCTGATGGACAAAAACAGACCCGGAGAAAGAGAAGCAGCGATCAGACTCTCAAACCTCAGAGGGAAAGTAGGGGAGGGTGGGGGTAAGGGGAAGAGATCAACCAAAGGACTTGTGTGCATGCATCCGGGCCTAGCTAGTGGCCATGGACAACAGGGGGGTGGGGGCATATGTGGGGAGGGGTTTGGGATGGGAATGGGGGGATGAGGACAAGTATGTGATACCATAATCAATAAAATTAAAATTAAATAAAAGCTTCCATGGCCTTTTCATGAAGGACCATCAGGAAGATTCTGGCGATTGTACAGGCGTGGGCTGACTGCTCACTTTGCTTCTCTCTCCACAGATGAGGCTGCTGGCATTTGTGGTGTTGGCTCTACTTGCTGTCACACAAGCAGAGGAAGGAGCCAGGCTTCTGGCCTCCAAATCACTGCTGAACAGATATGCTGTGGAGGGGAGGGACCTGACCTTACAGTACAACATCTACAACGTTGGCTCAAGGTAAGGAGGCTCTGGGGCTACAGGGCAGGCCCTTTTCGGGCTTCTTCGATTTCCCAGCTGGGATTTCTCTTCGGGAGACCTCCAGCAGCAGCTCTCACGAGTGAATAAATAAATACACTGCTGGACCTTATTTAAGAGGAGGAGGACATTCTTATCTAAGCTATGAGAATCCCATCTTCCACTTTTTTTTTTTTTTTGAGTTGGAAGAGTTTTAGAATGGGGAAGAAGCAGGAATTGTGAAACAGGGAGAGGAAAATGGGAAGGCATAAAATATATGATTCCGAAAAAAATAAAATATATGATTTCGTCTTACCTCAGGGTTTACAGTTTCCGCTTCCTTTGTTTCCATTAGCCTGTACACATTTTTGTTGCCTTTTTAAATTTTGTTCCCTTTAATTTGGTCTTCCATATGCGTCTTGCTCCTCTTCCCCTCCATCCTCCCAACAACACACAGAGAAACTGAGACAATTTGGGCCCATTTCTTCCTAGATGCTTGAGTATTTTGGTGCTTCTGAGCCATGGAATCCAGGCCTTGACCTGGGTACTTCAGTGCAGCAAACCCAAATTACCGTCTATGTGAGTCAGATGTGTCTTTTGTAGTTTTGAATTTTTAGGAGGAACAGGCAGATTTGATTGCCGATTGCTTTAATTTTCACATCGGTGACTTCCAAACCTCTTCTGTTGCCTGTTTTCTAGTGCTGCCTTGGATGTGGAGTTATCCGATGATTCCTTCCCTCCCGAAGACTTTGGCATTGTCTCTGGGATGCTCAACGTCAAATGGGACCGGATTGCCCCGTATCCTCTTGGCACTGGGGGTGAAGGCTGGCGGTGGGGGTCGGGGAACGGTGCCGCCAAAGCAAGCAGCAGGGTCCCTTCAGTCAGTCCGGTGTGCGTGGCCCTTCTTCTGTCACCTCTGGATGAGACGGAACAAAAGACACTGGTGACAGCTGTGTTCGTGTGCTTTGGATGCTCCAGAGCTTCTGAAGTTTAGGTTGTCAGGCCCTGAAACACTGTTGGGCAGATATAGACACTTAGATGTTTGTGGCCCAGCAAAGGGGGGCGATTTGAAAAGAAATTCAGTTGCGCCCAAACCGGTTTGGCTCAGTGGATAAAGCGTCAGCCTGCGGACTGAAAGGTCCCAGGTTCGATTCCGGTCAAGGGCATGTACCTTGGTTGCAAGCACATCCCCAGTAGGGGGAGAAGGGGGGGTGCAGGAGGCAGCTGGTCAATGTTTCTCCCATCCATGTTTCTTTTTTTTTTTTTTTTTTTTTAATATATTTTATTGATTTTTTACAGAGAGGAAGGAAGAGGGAGAGAGAGTTAGAAACATCGATGAGAGAGAAACATTGACCAGCCGCCTCTTGTACATCCCCTACCGGGGATGTGCCTGCAACCAATGTACATGCCCTTGACCAGAACCGAACCCGGGACCTTTCAGGCCACAGACCGATGCTCTACCACTGAGCCAAACCGGTTTCGGCCTATCCATGTTTCTAACTCTATCCCTCTCCCTTTCTCTCTGTAAAAAAAATCAATAAAATATATTTAAAAATAATAATAATGAAAAAAATAGGAGAAATTCAGTTGGATGCTAATGTGGAGGACCTGGGTGACCTTTCAAAGACTCTTAGTCAGTGAGTCTCTTCTGATCTATCAGTTGTTTCCTGAGTATTTTGAATTAGATTTTCCCCCCCATGTGAATTAAAGTATATTTAGATTTTCTGATAAGAGTTAGTGTTCCCTTTGTGGTTTTTGTTTTTATTTTGCATTTTCAAGAACTTCCTTCAGTTATAGTCAATGACATTTTCTGTGAGCTTAAGTGATTAATTTTCATCCATAACATATATTGCTTTGAGCATATACTGAGTACATCATAGATTTAAAACTTGACTAAAAAGGCATCATATTGCCCTACCTGGTTTGGCTTAGTGGATAGAGCATCGGCCTGCAGACCAAAGGGTCCCAGGTTCGATTCCAGTCAAGGGTACGTACCTCCGTTGCAGGCTTCTCCCAGGCCCAGGTCCTGGTCAGGCCTCGAGCAGGAGGCAACCAATCGATGTGTGTCTCTCACATTGATATTTCTCTCTTTTTCACTCTCTCTTTCACTCTGTAAAAATCAATGGAAAAATGTCTTCGGGCAAGAATTAAAAAAAAACAAAAAGAGGTATATTGTAATAAATTAAAGAAGAGGTATATTTAGGTTTACAAAAAAGTGTATGTTGTTTATTCTTCAGAGTATTGGCAAGTATGAAATCACCACATGTATTGGCAACTTCTTTTGTAAATGGTGCATTTAGTCCACAAGTTGAAAGGTTGTTAAAACTTCCGCGTCGTCTTTTTCCTTCCTTAACCCTTGGGCCAGTGCTAGCAACGTCTCCCACACTGTGGTCCTGCGCCCTCTCAAGGCTGGCTACTTCAACTTCACCTCAGCAACCGTGACTTACCTGGCCCAGGAGGACGGGCCCGTTGTGGTGAGTTGTCCAAACCCTGAGCTGGATGGGGCTCGGATCTGCCCTTGGAAACTGGCGGAAAATTTCTTATCTGAGAAAGATAAGAGAGACCAGGAAAGTGGGATATTGTCCTTAGGAAATACGTTTCAAATTATAAAGTTTCTGAATAAAGCGATTGAAATGGATGGGATGGGAGTATGTAGCATCCCCTTCCTCTTCATTCCTTCTGCCTGGCTCTTAGTCTGGAATGTGTCATACTGTGCTGGGTTCATCGCTGTTCTTGCCCTTCCAGTTTATCTGTGCTGCTGTCAGATTATTTCTGTCTTCATTGTTCCCATGTCTCTCTTTTGCTTTGGATGCTTCTGCTTAATTACATCCAGGTCAAGCTTTCCTGCCTCTCATTGCATACCCTCCGGCAGCCCAGCTGTTCTCTGCCTCCAGCTTTCTCTCCACTCGACGCACAAAGACCCTCCATCCCAACGAGGCCCGGCTCCTTTGTGCGCGCCCTTCTCCTCCCAGTGCTGTTCTTCCCACTGTGCCCTGCTTCTCTGTTTGAATGCTCTCTCCCCTCCGCTCCATTCTCCGAAGCCTTCTCCAGACCCAGCTTTGAGCTGCAAGCCCTCGTTTCTGTCTTCTGCTTTTACAGTTCACATTGCTTTCCTACTCCTTTCAATAAACATTCATCGAGGGGGGGAGAGGGGGGAAATAAATAAATAAACACTCATCGAGGGCAACCAAACATCTGTAGCTCTTACGTTATAGGCCACTTGAACATTTAATTATTGTCTTCAGTATTTCTCTTTTTTTTTTAAATATGCTTTATTGATTTTTTACAGAGAGGAGGGGAGAGGGATAGAGAGTTAGAAACATCGATGAGAGAGAATCATCGACCAGCTGCCTCCTGCACACCCACTATGTGCCTGCAACCAAGGTACATGCCCTTGACCGGAATCGAACCTGGGATCTTTCGGTCCGCAGGCCGACGCTCTATCCACTGAGCCAAACCAGTTTCAGCAGTAGTTCTCTTTCTTATGTGTAGGTCTTCCCCCCTACCCTCACTCCCAATACGCCTTGAAGTCAGAGACTTTGTCTTAGATTTCGCTCTGTTGCCCATATTTAATGCAAACAGTAGTAAATAATCTTTGACTGATTGCTGTAAAGGTCAACAGACTTTGTTGAGCCCCTGCAATGTACTGGACTCTAGAGAATACTAAGAAGATTAAGATGCTGCCCCAGCCTGCAAGAGCCTTAGGTCATGAATTCATAAAGGCCTGTGACAGGACCATAGATGGGCTATTGGCTACTTAGCAACTGCACAGTAGGGAAAAGAGTCAACCATAGAACTAAACAAAATCCAAAATTCTCGTTAAATGCACATTCTGAATTTTCTTTTTTTATAAACCAGAGGAACCATATTTTTGTAATCTCTGTTACCTTGTCACATCTTGTGCCATTTCTACCTTCAGAATCAGCTTTAGAAATAGTCATGGGGGTGTATAGCATAGGGAATACAGTCAATAATATTGTAATAACTAGCCGAAACCAGTTTGGCTCAGTGGATAGAGCGTCGGCCTGGGGACTGAAATGTCCCGGGTTCGATTCTGGTCAAGGCCATGTACCTTGGTTGTGGGCACGTCCCCAGTAGGGGGCGTGCAGGGGGCAGTTGATGGATGATTCTCTCATCGATGTTTCTAACTCTCTATTCCTCTCTCTTCCTCTCTCTGAAAAATCAATAAAAAATATATTTTAAAAAATATTGTAATAACTAGCTAGGGTGCCAGGTGGGCACTGAAATACCAGAGGGCACACTTTATAAAGTAGGTGGTTGTCTAACCACTATGCTGTACACTTAAAACCAGGGGGGGGGGGAATATATATATCGATATATATATATATCGATATATATATATATCGATATATATATATCGAATGTAAATTGTAAGCCTGGCCAGGGTGGCTCAGTTGTTTGAGCTTCCTGTTCACCAGAAGGTTGCCGGTTCGATTCCTGGTCAGGGCACATACCTGGGTTGTGATTTTGATCCCCTCTCAGGGAGCCCGCAGAAGGCAACCGATTAATGTTTCTCACAATGACATTTCTCTGTCTCTCCCTCTGTCTCTTTCTTCCTTCCTCCCTCTCTCTACATGTCCGTGGGTGAGTATTAAAAACAACAATAACCAACAAAAAGACATAATAAGATACAACTTTACACCCACGATGATGGCTATAATAAAAAACAAAGGCAGTCACATGTTGGCAAAGATGTGAAAAAATAGAACGCTAAAACACGACTGCTGAGAACACACAGTGCTGCGGCCACGTGGGGTAAACAATTTGACAGCTCCTCAAAGAAAAAGAAAAAAATGAAGAACCAACTGTTAGGACTCTGGTTCTGCGTGGTGTTTGACGGGTTAAAAGACAAAGAACCAAAGGCCGGCTGCCACTTCAGAACAAAGTTGTTTGCAGTGTGCTCCACGGCCTGGCCTCCTCTCAGGACAGGAATGTGGGCAGACTCAGCCCCTCTCTAATGTACATTAGGGCAGGGCTTTGTGCCGACCAGAATCCTTCTCGTTTCATCTGAGCCTCCCGGCACTCAGGTGCAGGAGGAATCGGGAAACGAGTGGCCAGTGCAAGTCATTCCATTGGCCCCTGGCCCTGCAGAGGGGCCAGCATGGTGAGCCGCTCCGCAGAGTCTGAGTCTCAGGTGGAAGAACTTGGTGTGAATTCCAGCTGCATCCCTGGCCTCCGTGTGCAGTCAGTGCTCATCGTGTGTTTCTCCGGTCTCCTGCTCCTAATGTACCCCTCTCTACGACACAGTAGAAATCATGCAACTCTCTCTAGTTCGAAAGCTTCTCTTCCTCTTGAAACGCTAAGAATCTAACACGTAGGCCCTGACTGGGTAGCTCAGTCGGTTAGAGCATCGTCCCGACACACCAAGGTTGTGGGTTCCCTCCCCCGTCGGAGCACATACGGGAATCAGCCAGTGGGTGCATAGTGGTAAGTGAATGGGACAACAAGCCGATGTTTCTCTCTCCGGTCAATTAAAAAAAAGGAATGACGCTCAGAACGAGGTTGGTGGGGGCTGCCCTTTCTCAGACGAGAAGGTGTGGGAGTGGCCTTAACGTCTGTCCTGCTTTTGTTTCAGGTCGGCTTCACCAGCGCGCCCGGACAGGGAGGCATCCTGGCCCAGCGGGAGTTTGACCGGAGATTCTCCCCTCACTTTGTAAGCGGCACAGTGTGGTCTGGGATGAGACCGCCTTGGGTTCTGGGACCCCTTAGCCCCCTTGGAAGATTTAATTGGTTGGTTTTTGCCATATCTCTTTCTTTGGTGTCTGATCAGCCATCAGATATCCTAATTTAACTGTGATTAGAGATTTTCAGTTGTGAGATCACAGTTATGAGCACAAAAAACTGCCCTTTTTCTTTCCTCATCCTTGAGTAGAGTCCCATCTTGGGAGTCCTGAGTCTATATTGAGATTTAAAAAGAATATCTGTTAGATTCAAAGAGCTGAGCATTGGGAAGGTGAGGCGGGAACTTAGCTGTGGTCTCGTCTAAGACAGAATTTTTTTGAAGATTTGCCTAAAGATCTGATTGAGGAAATTCTGTACTTATCCATTCACTCAGTGGATAATTATGAAGTTCCTAATTACGTGCTCCGTTCAGTGCTTCGCTTTGGGAAACAATGGGGACAAGACACAGCCCCTCTCATAGAGCTTCAGGGCACCTAGGGGCTCAGAACAGGTCACTGCGGGGAATGCCCTGATGGAGATCACAGACCAGGTGCCCGAGGAGCAGCAGCGGGAGCACGGAGCCTGGTCTCAGTCAGGGCGGGTTCCGGAGGAGGAGGTGAGGAAGGATGGGCATCGTAGGGAGAGGGAGCAGCTCAGTGAGAGAGCGTGGTGCCATCCAGGCATGACAAATAGTCTGGAGGCTGGAGGGCAGGCGGAGGCGGAGGAAAGGAGGAAGGGCTGGAGACAGTGGGTTAGATCACAGGAGGATTGACTGTCGGGCAATACTTGGCCATCTCCCTCCTCGGACTGTCTGGGAGAGAAAAGCTTTTCTTCCCCTCTGGGTGGGGCGGGCCTGTCATGGTTCTGCTTAAAGTTTGGGCTGGGCTGCTCCCTGTCTCGTTGGACCCTCCTCCCTGGTCCTCCCCCGGGCCCTGCTCCACAGTCTAAGCAAGGCCTCTGCGTCTTCCACAGCTGGACTGGGCAGCCTTCGGGGTCATGACGCTCCCCTCCATCGGGATCCCCCTGCTGCTGTGGTACTCCAGCAAGAGAAAATACGACACCCCCAAACCCAAGAAGAACTGAGGGGGTTGCACAGCCGCCCACCCCAAGAAATCAGGTGCTTTCCAGACTCCAAAGGGTATCTCCGAGGCAGTCTCCTCGGCCACCTTCTCCTGGGTCCTGCCCTGCCCTCGTCCGGAGTGAAGGCCTGGGCCCAGGAGTCTGCGAGAGCCTCCTCGCTCCCCTCTCGAAGCCATACAGGCGAGCATGCCGGAGCCCAGCGCAGCCGTGGGGCGTATCGCTGGCCCCCTGAGCTCCCCGGGGCAGGAGGGCGTGTTTGGAGGCTGCATGACACCACCCCCACCTGCTCTCCCCTCAGAAGGGGACAGAAGGTGAAGTGGAAGCTGTGGGACTCTTGGAGGCTACCCAGCTCCTGCTCTGGGTTAGGGAAGTGCTTACCAATGGGTTTTCTAATAAAAACAAATGCCACACTGACGTGCCCGTTTTCTCGTCGGCTGGGTGAGAGCAGGTTGTTGGAACTCAGACCTGAGAGCCGAGGCTCCTGGGCAGGTGATCTGAATCCTGCCTCGTTGCTGTGGGGGCTGTGGGCCCTGTTCCCATGGAGATATCGATTTGTTTTTAAGCACCTTGCTTTAGCTCTCCTTTCCCTCTGCTCTCACCAATCACCACATACTCCCCAGAACCTTTCCTGACTGTTCGCTCCTCTCAGCTCAAGGTGAGGATGGGGAAGGTGTTCTCACGCCAGGAAGACATTCTGGTCTCCTGTACTGACTTTTTGTAATCCTCACTCGATATTTTCCTCCATTGATTCTAGAGAGAGCGGAGTAGGGGGGGGGGTGGAGGACAGGTGGAGAAACATCCATGTGAGAGAGAGTCATCAATTGGTTGTCTCCTGCACAAGCCCCCGACCAGGAATCAAACCCAAGATCCCTCGGTCCCCAGGCTGACGCTCTAACCACTGGGAAAACTGGCCAGGTTTCCTTACTGACTTCTTGGAAAGCCGTCTCTTAGACCCGGTTCTGTTCCTTCCTCTGTTTGAGAACTAGCTTTTCTGGAGCTTGCAGGATGCCTCCGCTCTGAGCGCCGGCCCGGCGGCAGCACCTGGGGTGTCCCCAAGCACGGGCTGCGGAGAGGCCTGGCTTTGGCGGCAGCGGCAGGCGGTGGGGAGAAGCCGCTCTGAGCTGACTGTCCAGCCCAGGAATGCCGTGGTCCGAGGACAGCCTCCCAGGCAGGGGAGCCGCCAACAAACAGCCGCTTTGTTCCTGCCAGCGCGTTTCCCAGTTTAGACTGTTGGGGATGGGGGGTGGGGAGGGCCGTGCTGCCCAACCGGTTTACCCTTTCCTCTGCCCGGGGAGCCGCTGGGCCCCAGGGAGGATGAAACGGACATGGAGACAGCGGGACGCCCCGAACGGAGTGGCCCTCCAGCAGCTCACGTCCCTCCTCCAGGAGCTGTGGCTCCGACAGCCCGGGACTGGCCAGGTGAGAGGGCGAGGCGGGGACAGCACGTTGTGCTCCTGGCGGAGGCCTGGGGCTGCTCAGGAGGAGGGGGGCCGACCATGGGTCAGAAGCGGGGCGTGAGGAGGAAAGGGAGCTAGTTCAGTGCCTATCACCTCCCTCCCGAGGTCCCAAGGTCTCGGGAGCATCAGTCTCTGGAGGAGGAAGCACGCTGCCCCACCTGCGGTCTCCCCTGCGCACAGCGAGCTCACCTGCAGGAGGCGGTGTTGTGCGCTAGAGGACAGGCTAAGCTTGTAACCCGACGTCCTAGAGAACCTTCTTTCTGTCTCGGCTCAGAGGCGCCCCTTTCCCGAGTGGGGCAGTCTTCACCTTTCCCTGCAGAGCTCGGCACGCTGTGTCCTGGGCCTTGTCAGGATGGAGGAGACGCGGGCGGGGAGGGGGGCGCGGGCAGATGCCAAGAGCAGCTCTGTGAGGGCGGTGAGTGTCACAGGCGCCTTGCAAAGGGGCCAAACCCAGATGCCTCCTCTCCGAAGGGGCCGGCTTCCACTGGTGTCAGGAGGAATTGGAGCCCGCCCGTACGCAGTGGGCTCGGAGAATGCAAAGCCTCTGAAACGGAGAGACAGACCCGGCGGGACGAGTTGGCTTTAAGGCTGAACCCTGTCCACGCCTGTGGTCACTGCAGGGCGGAGGAGTGGAGAGAGCAGTCCCTTTGCTCCCATGGGAACCGCCCTGGGAAGGCGGGGCCCGAGCTCCAGACTGCCCGCAGGTCCGCATGGCCGAGGGCCGGGAAGCCCCGGTCCCCCATCCTTCCTGGAGGCTGGGGACCGAAACGGAGGGGCTCCTCCCTAAAAGGCAACGCAGAGAGGAGCCCAGCTGCCAGCAGGTTCCAGATCCCACCCTGGAAGCCAGCCGACTGTCCCTCCTCCCACATCATCCGAGCTCTCAGCTGGCACCGGCTCGCCCACACACCCAGCCCTGGTACCAGGAGGAGCCAGGGGCCCGGATGGCCACCTCCACACCCTGGGCTGGGGGCTCCTCCTGAAGAGAGTCCGTGGGAGCCATGACCGGTGTGGCTCAGTGGGTAGAGTGTCGGTCTGCAGACTCAAGGGTCCCGGGTTCGATTCTGGTCCAGGGCATGTACTTTGGTTTGCGGGGACATCCCCAGTAGGGGGTGTGCAGGAGGCAGCTGATGGATGTTTCTGTCTATTCCTCTCCCTTCCTCTCTATAAAAAAAATCAATAATACATATATATATATATATATATATATATATAATTTTTTTTAAAGAAGAAAGTCCATGGGAAACGGTGTAAGGCTTTCCAAGAAATGAGGGAATGCAGCGGCTCCGAGTGGTGGGAACATGCTGGGCACCTGCCCGCTCACCCACCGCCCGCTGGCTGTCTGCCTCGGTGACTCACGCCCTCCAGAGCCTGAGTCTGAACAATCGCGAGATTGTCTCGTTAGCATGTCCGAGGCCCCGCGCCAGTGAAAGGAGGCAGGTGCTCCCTGTGTTCTTGCGAAGGGAGAGGCCACCCCTGTCGCCCACCGTGGGGTTCGGGGTCCAGCCAGGCAGGAAGCGATGCAGCTTCCACCTCTGGCAGCGCCGCCCTGCCCTCTTCCTTCCACCCAGCCCGAGGGTTTCAGAGCGAGCACGGGCCGTGGGCCGCCTACTCTGACCCTCTGACTGAAGGACAGGGGGACGTGGCTGGCCGAGGTCACGCCAAGCGGCAGCGAGCTTATTTACGGGATAGCTGCTATGGGCCGGCCTCGGTGTGTCCGCACTGGCCCACTTCTCACCTGACACCCCACGGACCGGTGAGGAAGCAAGGCCAGTGCATCACGTCTCCAAGGCCCGTAACCAGGGATTGGCAGAGGCGGCTCAGGTCTCCCGCCTCCAGCCGGGCTGTCCGAGGAGGCCCAGGTACCAACGTGTCTGCCCCCGCCGCCCTCTGCCCCGTGGGAGACGGAGGGTGAGTCAGGCCGCCCAGGTTTTATCAGGGAAGAGGGCGGGGGTGCTGGCCAGATACCCTGGCCTGGCATCCGCCCCAGTGCGGGGGCGCGGAGCCACGTGGGTGCTGAGTGGCCTGGTCACCGAGTCCCTGCGGGCGGAGGGGAGGGCCCTCCTCACACGGAGCTGACCTGCCAGGGCGCCTCCCTCCATCACAGAAAGCACAATCTTTCCTCCTCTCCCCGCGCTGGAACCTGCCTCTTAAAGGGACCCGCAAGCCGAGGTGGAGCCAGATTTGAGAGAGGACAAAGGGCCTCCCTGACCCCAACAGGACCCGCTGTTAAGTGCGTTTCCAGCTGTGCGCCTTTCCCTGCGATGTCCTCTCTCTTCCCCTCCTTCACCCCGTCGTCCCCACGGGAGGGGGGGCGGGGGTTCCTTGGATGTCAGGTTCCCACCTACTCTCCCCTCAGGGTCACCCCAGACGGTTCCCTCTGCCTGTTTCCACGTGAACCTGAGATCCGGGAGCGCCCTCTGTCCGGGGAACGCTGAGGACGGGTCCCGGGAAGCCTCAGGGCCGGCACACCAGGGGTTAAAGGCCCACACACACGCAGGGTGTTTGAAGGAGGGCGGGGAAGGGAAGTGCAGGGGTAATAGAAGAGGCAGCTGGCCCGGGCTGGAATGAGTGCCCCTCCGTCTCCTCCTGTGCAAACCTCTGGATCATGAGCCCTCCCTCTGAAAGGACCACGCAAGGGGCCCTGGCGTTAGGGTGCGGGACCGGGCTCTTAGCGGGCCGCCCTGAAGCAGGACTTTGTCTCACCCTGAAGCCGCCCGTGGAGGGCAGGAACACGTCCCCCATCCCTGGGACACCTCCCGAGCCTGGTGAGTTTCCCTCGGTTCCCTTTCTCGGGGGTCTTGTCCCTATAACACGGGCACACACACACACACACACACACACACACAGGGGAGAACGGGGTGTAGCTTCTCTACCCGAGAAGGGGGTCGTGTGTGTGTGTGTGTGTGTGTGTGTGTGTGTGTGTGTGTGAGAATCACAATTTTGGCCAACAACTCACACTCAAATACGTGTGTGACAAGTGATGCTAAACCCTCCTCCATATTCTCAGTCACCACAATCCTGTGGATTTTAAAACCTTGATGTCTGAACTTATTCCGGGTCCCCTTCCTCTGGTGCCAGACACTGTTCCTCTCCCCCTGGGGGTTGGGAAATGTAGAAGGCCACCAACCAACGCATCCCTGGAGCCAGGGGAGTCCTGATTCCAGGTCATCTACCAGGTTAGGGGTCCCCTGCTTTGGCCCCTCCTTCCAGCTGTCTCCTGGGACACAGTGGCCAGAGTCTCCTCAGGTGTGTCCCTCTGAACCTCAGACCCTCTCTTGCCCCACCTCTCTGGCACAGGACCCGTGACACATGCCAGGAAACTGGCAGAGGTGGTGAGAGAGGACTGGCTGGTCTCTCCCTCTCTCCTGCAGGCCCACATGGCATGGGCGACCCCGGGCCCATCCCGGCAAAAAGAAGGGGATTCTGCTAACCTACGTTTGGTCTGCAAACCAATTAAAAAAAAAAAAAAAGTGAGGGGAGGGCGTAGAGAGGGGAGCCCAACGCCGCAAATTCCTGACTGATTTGTGCACCCGGTTTATCAGAGGC